CATCCGAGAGCCCTAGCAGTCCTCCAACTGAATGGCCAACTGATAGCCCTTCAGCAATGCCCACAAGCTCCCCAACAAAGACCCCAACAGGAGGTCCAACACCCAGTCCAACGACTTCTCCTTCGGTAACCCCCAGCAAAGCTCCAACTGGAGGACCAACACCAGCACCATCTGTTTCTCCATCCGAGAGCCCAAGCAGTCCCCCCACTGAATGGCCAACTGATAGCCCCTCTGCAGGTCCATCGTCAGTTCCTACTGCATGGCCAACGGATGCTCCTTCTGCATCTCCTACCTCTGGGCCCGCATCGGACAGGTCTGGTCCCACTCCGACAGACTCATGGCGACAATTCAAAAAGACTCCTGCCCCCACTGGTACCCCTACAGCCAGTGCAGCACCTACTGTCTGTGAAGATGGGGTTATTGCAGTTACTGAGCATTCTTATGATTCTTCGTTGGGTTCCACAGCTGACAACATCCCAATCACTGTGGTTAGCATTGAGAAGGAAAGTACTGTAACTTTCACTGTAGACCAAAGCTTCTACAACGGTGAAGTTCCAGTGCTTGCCATTCTGCACTTCACTGACAGCAGCTATGCATGTGAGACAAGGGCTCCTGCCAGCCCATACTCGGATGGTGATACAAAGGTGCAATATACTGCCTCATGTAGAGGAAGTGAAACTACAACTGTGGCTGTCTATGTTGGCGACACTGCAGATGGCTCAGTTCTCTCTAGTGAGGACGATGCCACTGCCCATATTGCTTGCAGGGCTGCTTTAGCTCAGGCAAATTCTCAAGCCGCCAGTCAACTCGGCGAATGGTTCTATGATGTGCCTTGTACAGATCCATGCTCAGATGATGGAAACTTCAATCCAGCTCCTCCCAAGGAATTTGAACCAACAGCAAGCCCAACCGGCGAGAAGAACTGTGTGGAGGTTGAACCCCAGGCTGTCTGGCAAAGTTGTGAATATGAGACTCTGGTGGAGCATGTGACCGGAAACTCGACACATGCTGTTTTCAATATCATTCAGGTAAGTTTGCTTCTTCGATGTTGCTTGCGATTTCATGCACAGAATTGTCATCTTCATCCAAGTTTCTGACTATTGTGTGCCGTGCCAATGTCAATTTTATTCAGACTTTTACGGAAAGCAGCGTTGAGTGGATGGCTGTGTACTACTCAGAGTATGGAGAAGATTCGTGCAGCAAGGTGCTGTCTCCTGTCAACACTGGCAGTGCCGTCGAGCAAATCACCGCAGAGTGTGTAGATGGCTGGGCAGAAGTGCAAGTTTATGTCCATGATGCCACCTTCAGCGAAAGCGATGTGGCAACTGAACCATATGTTTGTAATGCAGTTGATTGGACATCTTCTGGCAATACTAAGTCTTGTGGATACAATGCCAGGGTACCATGTGTTGAGACGCTGGACAACAACTGTGAAGAGACAGTTGCCCCAACTTACATTCAAACTTACACGAACACTGGTGTTGCAAGCAGGCCGCCTGCAGCTACAGACACCCCGACCTCATACCCTACTTATGAAAACACATTCACAAACACTGGCTCTGTTACCAAGCCTCCCTCAGTTACCAAGGGTCCAACCACCACTCGCACAACACCTTTTGGTGTTGATACACCCAGCCCCACTGAGAGTTTTACTTCACCTCCGTCAGATATTCCAACAGGATCTCCTTCAGACATTCCAACCGGATCTCCAACAGCACCTCCATCAGATATCCCAACAGGATCTCCATCTGGATCTCCGTCAGATATTCCAACAGGATCTCCTTCAGACATTCCAACTGGATCTCCAACAGCACCTCCATCAGATATCCCAACAGGATCTCCATCTGGATCTCCGTCAGATATTCCATCAGGATCTCCGTCAGATATTCCAACAGGATCTCCCACTGGATCTCCTTCAGATGTTCCATCTGAATCGCCTTCGGATGTTCCATCTGGATCGCCTTCTCGCTCACCTTCTGCAACGCCAAGTAGCACACCTAGTGTTGGCCCCAGTGAATCTCCCTCTGTGTCTCCCTCGCTTGCACCAAGCGCAAGTCCATCCAGAAGTCCATCGTCTGGCCCATCAGAATCTCCCAGCTCTGAACCATCGGAGAGTCCATCCAAGATTCCCACAAGTGGTCCATCAGCTTCTCCATCCACTAGCCCCAGTGAATCTCCATCCCAATGGCCAACTGACAAACCAAGTATATCACCCAGTGACAATCCCACTACAACGCCAAGCAGTGACCCGACAAGACCACCAAGCATTGTACCCACTGGTTCCCCCAGTATTCAACCTTCTTCAGGGCCCACTGATACCCCATCTGATAGGCCTTCAGCCATCCCCAGTGTGGCACCTTCGGGCATCCCAACTTCTGGTCCCAGCGACTCACCTAGTTTTTCCCCAAGCACTTCACCGAGTAGTTCACCAAGCAGTCCCCCCAGCAAGATTCCCACTAGTGGGCCTACATCTAGTCCTTCATCAAGTCCTTCCGGAAGCCCCAGTGCAGAGCCTTCTAGCAGTCCAAGTAGCAATCCAAGTAGCAGCCCGTCCAGCAGCCCCAGTGGTGGTCCTTCAAGAAGTCCCAGCAGTGGTCCAAGCTCCAGCCCCAGTGTTGATCCGTCTGCCAGCCCCTCCGCAGGTCCCAGCAACTCTCCCAGTGAAAGTCCAAGTGCAAGGCCCACAGGTATTCCAACAACCAGTCCAAGCGAGAGTCCCACTTCCAGTCCCTATCCAAGTGGCCTTCCATCATTTGTCCCAACTGATAGCCAAGCTCCTAGTGAGAGTCCATCTTCTGAACCTTCCTCAAGCCCAAGTGCTACTCCAAGCACATCACCAAGTACAGGCCCAAGTGAAGCCCCCAGTGCTCAGCCCAGTTTATCACCGAGTGCTAGCCCTAGTAGCTCTCCGAGTGAAACTCCCAGTGTTGGCCCCACTACTTCACCAAGCTCAACACCCAGCAGTCAACCTAGTGTCTCTCCAAGTGATTCGCCAAGTATTTCGCCAAGCAGTTCTCCAAGTGAAGGACCAAGTGTTGGTCCTACGACCTCGCCAAGCTTGTCACCCAGCACTGACCCCAGTATGTCTCCAAGTCAATCACCAAGTGCCGGACCCAGTGCCAGCCCCAGCCAGACACCTAGTACTATTCCGAGTGCCAGTCCGAGCGAGATGCCAAGCACAGGTCCAAGTGTAAGCCCCAGTGCAACACCAAGTGCACAACCTAGTGAATCACCCAGTGTTACACCAAGCATGAGTCCAAGTACAATCCCCAGTACCAGCCCAAGTGAAACACCCAGCACCAGCCCAAGCGAATCACCCAGCACTGATCCCAGCGCCGGCCCAAGTGAGACACCAAGCACCCCACCAAGTGCCAGTCCCAGCGAGACGCCAAGTAGCACACCCAGTGTCGTGCCCAGTGCTTCCCCTTCAAGGTCGCCTTCTATTGATCCGTCTTCATCACCAAGTGCCAGTCCCAGTATTGGCCCGAGTGTTGCCCCAAGCACTGCACCCAGTGAATCACCCAGTGTTACACCAAGCATGAGTCCAAGTACTAGCCCCAGTGAGATGCCAAGTACAAGCCCCAGTGCTGGTCCAAGTGAGACACCAAGCTCGGAGCCAAGTGCCAGTCCAAGTGGATCACCCAGCATTGATCCAAGTGCCAGCCCAAGTGAGACACCAAGTGCTAGCCCAAGCGAATCACCCAGCATTGATCCCAGCGCCAGCCCAAGTGAGACACCAAGCACCACACCAAGTGCCAGTCCCAGCGAGACGCCAAGTAGCACACCCAGTGTCGCGCCCAGTGCTTCTCCTTCAACGTCGCCTTCTATTGATCCGTCTTCATCACCAAGTGCCAGTCCCAGTATTGGCCCGAGTGTTGCCCCAAGCACTGCACCCAGTGAATCACCAACATCCAGTCCTCAGCCAAGTGGTCTGCCAAGCTCCACCCCTACCGAGAGCCAGGCACCCAGTGAGAGCCCAAGTGATGTCCCAAGTTCCAGCCCAAGTGTCTCCCCAAGTGTGGGTCCGAGTGTATCGCCAAGCTCCAGCCCCAGCAGTCGTCCCAGCATTGCGCCAAGCGCAGGGCCAAGTGCAAGCCCAAGTGCTGGACCCAGTCTAAGCCCAAGCGGTTCACCTAGTGCAAGTCCCAGTGAGTCGCCAAGCTCTGGACCCAGCGAAAGCCCCAGTGGATCTCCAAGTGCTGGACCTAGTGTCAGCCCCAGTGGGTCTCCCAGCGCTGGTCCCAGTGTCAGCCCTAGTGAATCACCGAGTGCCGGACCCAGTGCCAGCCCCAGTGAATCACCAAGTGTTGGACCCAGTGTCAGCCCCAGTGGATCTCCTAGCGGCGGGCCCAGCGTAAGCCCCAGTGGATCACCAAGTGCCGGTCCCAGTGTCAGCCCAAGTGAATCACCGAGTGCCGGTCCCAGTGTCAGCCCCAGTGAATCACCGAGTGCCGGACCCAGCGTAAGCCCCAGTGGATCACCAAGTGCCGGTCCCAGTGTCAGCCCTAGTGAATCACCGAGTGCCGGACCCAGTGTCAGCCCCAGTGAATCACCCAGCGCTGGACCAAGTGTCAGCCCCAGGTCGCCAAGTGCTGGACCCAGTGAGAGTCCAAGCTCTAGCCCCAGTGGGTCACCAAGCGCTGGACCCAGTGTCAGCCCCAGTGGATCACCAAGCGCTGGACCCAGTGTCAGCCCCAGTGGATCACCAAGCGCTGGACCAAGTGTGAGCCCCAGTGGGTCTCCTAGTGCCGGACCCAGCGGAAGCCCTAGTGTATCCCCAAGCACCAGCCCCAGTGAATCACCCAGTGCAGACCCTAGCAGTGCACCAAGTGAAAGCCCATCCCTGACCCCATCTGTTGGCCCAAGTGCCTTGCCAAGTTCACCCCCCAGCAGTGATCCCAGTAATTCTCCCTCAGGAAGCCCCTCTGGAATACCCAGTGCTAGCCCGTCCTCTGGACCAAGCTCTAGCCCCTCAGAACGCCCCTCGTCTGGTCCCTCCGGCTCTCCTAGTGAGACCCCGACTGGAATGCCAACTCCAAGCCCATCTGTGGCTCCATCTGAGAGTCCAAGCTCCTCACCAAGTGATTCACCAAGCTCACAACCTACACCTTCTCCAACATCAAGTCCCAGCTCATCTCCTTCCAGTCAACCTAGTGGAACTCCAACAGGCACACCAAGTGGAACGCCATCGGGCACTCCCACCGGAACACCATCAAGTCTTCCAACAGGAACTCCCACTGGCACACCATCAAGTCTTCCAACAGGTACACCCAGTGGAACACCATCGGGCACTCCCACCGGAACACCATCAAGTCTTCCGACAGGAACTCCCACTGGAACTCCCACAGGAACTCCCACTGGAACTCCCACAGGAACTCCCACAGGAACTCCCACTGGAACTCCCACTGGAACTCCCACTGGAACTCCCACTGGAACACCAACAGCCGTCCCTAGTGCAGAGCCCACTTTTGTTGAGGTACCTACCAAGACTTTCAAACCTGTTAAAAAGTGCATCTCTCCTGTAGATGAAGCAGGAAAATATTGCCGTACGCTCATGGCGGGTGGCGGTGGTGGTAGTGAATCTGCGGAAGGTGGTACTGACGTTGGAACGGTATGCTTTGAAGCTATTAAAGAACCCAGCATGTCACTGTCTGTTGTTGTGACCACGAAGCCTGGCTACAACCTTGTTTCAAGTGGCCTTTGGGTAGGTGATGGATACGGTGGCACTATGCCAGTGGACGACTCTGGTGTGCCACAAGCACCATGGTTCCCATACACTTGGTCTAGCACTTCTTACGGTGAGACTACCTGGGAGACTTCAATTGTGATCTCCGCCAAGGATGGAACCTGTGGGGCTTTCATGACAGGATTCAGCATGACCACAATGACTCAAGTTACTGTGGAAGACTCGGCTGGTACACAGCTTGATGCCTATTCAGTTGAGGAAGACTTTGATGGATCTAGCTCCGCTCTATACTCCGGCACCGAGATGATGGTGGATTGTGAATGCCTATGCACAGAGATTTGTGTTGAAACCCCCGAGGATTCTTCTGTGCGTGAGGAATGCCATGACCTCATGGTTGGGGCCAACAATGGTGCCAATGTCACAGCAGGCCAAGTCTGTATTGAAATTGTCGATGATGAAACCAAGTTCCAAGTCACTTATACTGCAACAGGTGAATGGACTTTGGTCTCCACAGAGTTCTGGATTGGGGAAAGCATCTCCTCTGTACCTCTGGATGACGGGGAGCTGAACTCCGAGGCATTCCCATACTTCTGGTGCGCCAGCAATAAACTTGCTATTGTTTGTGATGTGGCTGAATAGTTTTTAATCTCACACATTCCATTCCTGCCCCCCCCCCTGCCCGTGAAACTTGTCCTTGTCTCACAGGTGCAATTCTACAGGAGAGTCTGAATGGGTCAGCAAGTTTGACTTCAAGTGGTCATACAATTGCTTGGATATGGACAGTTTCACAATGGCTCTTGTTGGGCAAGCTACTGTAGCTCAGGTGAATTCAACAACCGGTGAAATTGTCGAGGACTCGGAAGTTGTGGCTTTTGCTTATGAATACGATGGTCCAGTTGCGGATGATATTTTCTCCTGGTTTGACATTACTGTGAATTGCCACTGTGTGAAGGATTGCTATCCAAAGGAGGACAAGTCAGGACCAGGACCAGGACCGACCACACCAGAGATCTGTGTGAAGCCAATGGATGGCTCTTCTGGCCCTATGGAACACCAAGCAGTTTATGCCGGAAATGACACCCAGATTGGTGCTGTCAGTGTTTCTGTATCCAAGGATTCAAGCCATTTGGATGTTTCCTTTGAATCAACCAGAGGCTGGACGCTGCTCAGTACTGAATACTGGATTGGCGACAGCATTGCTGCTGTTCCAGTTGACCAAGCCGAAGGTGGTGCCCTGGATGTGGAAAACTTCCCTTACTACTGGTGCAATTCTACAGGAGAGACTACCCACACCTCACATGTTGAGCTCAAATGGTCGTACTTATGTGAAGATGAGGCTGAGTTTTCTCTGGTGATTGTTGCACAAATGACTCTGGGTCAAGTGGACAGTGAAGGTGTCTTGATCGAAGGCACCGAAGTGATCACTTATGTCACAGAGCATGAAGTTTCAACAGCCGAGGAAATGTACGGATGGTTTGATGTCACCGTCATGTGCGAGTGTATTCCCGATGACAGACAGCCACCAAAGATCACTGGGTTATGTGTTGCCGACGAAGAGGAAGAGGCAAAGGAGTGCCAGACTGTTTACGGAGGGGATGCCACAGAAATCGGAGTGGTGTGCGTTGAAGTCACAGGGGATGACATGGATTTTGAAGTGACCTACACTGCCTCAGACTCTTGGGCGTTGCTCTCAACTGATCTGTGGGTTGGAGAAGCAGTTTCCGCTGTCCCGATGGATGATGGCGAACTGGACACAGAAAATTTCCCATATTTCTGGTACGGCAAATGGGAACGTGGTTGTTTGACAACAACAACTGTATCTCTGACCCTTGTCCGCTTGTTTCATGGTTTGCTATTACAGGTGCAACTCCACAGGAGAAGACACTCACACTTCCCTTGTTCCGCTGAAGTGGAGCTACCTCTGCGAAGAGTCGAAAACCGGAGGATTCCACATCTCCTTTGTGACACAACTTACTGTCGCTAAGGTGAACGAAACAACAGGGGAAATCATCGAGGGCACTGAAGTGATGTCGTATGCATCCGTCGTAGAAACGTGAGTGCGGGACGGCGTTAGGCCACACATCGCTACGTAAATGCATTCCTGTCTCACCTATTGATACTCTTTTGCCGCCCACGCAGTGAGATCAACGATGTCATTGTCGGATACTTCGATGTGCCTATCAGTTGTACCTGTGTCAAGGACAGATCCGCCTCCGGTCTCCCAGATATCTGCGTGGAAGACTTGTCAGACGCCGACACCCCTCCTACCATGGAATGCCAAGAACTTGGTGATAATGTTGGTTCTATCTGTGTCCAGATGCTCCCTGATGGCGAGCTTGAAGTTCACTTCGAAGCCACTGGTGATTGGTTGTTCACTAACAACGAATTCTGGATTGGTGAGGACATTGCATCTGTTCCTGTCGACGACGAGGAAGACGGAGGTGGCCTCGATGTTGAGTCATTCCCCTACTTCTGGTGCAACTCCACTGGTGAGGACACTCATCGAGCCCATGTCCCCTTCAAGTGGTCGTACTTGTGTGAAGGAGAGGATGAATTCAGCCTTGTTGTGGTTGCCCGCTCCACCGTGGGCAAGTTGGATGCAAACGGTGAAATCTCGGAAGAGGACTCTCTTGTCGCGTACACGAACGAGTTCCATGGTACAGTCGGAGACGAAACTATTGGCTGGTTCGACATCAAGATTAACTGCGCCTGTCCCCATGGTGAAATCACGTCAACCACCACGGACAAGAGCTTTGACACTGCCGACGACGAATGCCCAGGTGGTGCCGTTGTCACTGTGAAACAAATTGACACATTCAACTATACGGCCGATCTCGACACTACGACTTCTTCCGACGAGCAGAACTTCACTGTTCCCGCTGATGCCGACAGTATTTCGCTTACCTTCCTCCTTGAGCAGAAGGGATCCTGGGATATGGATGACAAAGTTGTTGTCAGCTTGAATGACATCCCTGTTGATCTTGGAGCCATTGAAGATTACGACCATCATGCCAATCCAACCAACGCTGCCAGTGGCATTTCGGGAGGTATTGCGTGGTCCAGATTCCGTCTTGACGGTGGAAGCTATGCGGACAAGTTGCATCAAGTTGATGTCAAGATCCCCGGTGTCCTGGCAGCGGACGGTGTCTTGGCGGCGCTGTTTGAGTTTTCGACCAGTGAATCTTACGACGACCAGTCAGCCTCCATTTCGGACGTGGCTATGACTGCCGGTGGCAGCTGGTGCGACAAGGAGATGCGTCGTTTGGATCTGTCGACATCCGATGCTGCTACGCCTTGCAACAAGGATGTTGTATTGTTCAATGAAGACTACGAGACGGGCACCGCAGCCGGTTGGGCGAATGGTTTGATAGCCTTGGACGAGACATTCGGTCACTTCCTTGGCCGACTGGGTCGCGAGAACCGTGTCATGAGCAAGGCCTTCGCCGTCCCCGCAAAAGCCGAGTCGTTGACGGTTGCCTTTAGTGTGTACACTACCGGTGCCTCTGCCTGGAAGGACACGGATCAGTTCCGTGCCAAGGTGGGTATTGCCGACATCAACCTAGGTGATTTCACTCTCGCCCAGGCAAGTGGCACTACGCAGGATGTTGCATGGAGTCGTGTCGAGAAGGAACACAACCATCACGTTGTCCATTTGGAAGTCCCTCGTGAGTATTTCCTTGCCGGCAAGTTGTCGCTAGCCCTTGAAGTGAGTGTCCGTGAAGGCATCCATCGCAAGAGTGCCGGTGTGGACAATTTGGTCATTACTGCGGTCGGTGTGAACGCGTGCGACGGAAGTGTCGAAGAAGGTGAAGATATTGTCCGTGGTGCCAGTGGTTTCCGTGTCAGCAGTTTGGTAGATGTCTACGAGCCCGAAGCGGAAGCGGAAGAAGACGAAGACGAAGGCCGCGGATACTGTCATTCGGAAGATTTCCCTTGTGGTGACGAAGAAGGCATGGTGAACGTATGCCATTACAGTATCACAAGCGGTTATCAGACGTACTGTTTGAAGGAATCCGACTCTGATTTGGTCCGCACGTACCCTGACGATTACTGCGGTCCTTGTGTTGGTGGATACGGTGGTTCCTTGAAGGATCAGAAGCAGCAGCCTTAAGAGCTGTCTGTTGTCTGTTTGTTACGGAATGATACTGTGATTTTGTGCGAGGTTGTCGACTCGACGGATGTTGTCAGAGTTGACCCACGCAAATCACAGTTTGTTTTTCAATATATATGTTGATCAAGATTATTGTTGTTGATTGCTTTGCGGTGTTTAGTTTAGTGAAAAAGATAAGCTAGCGCCACTTTGAAATCGTGTACTGTCACATCGTCACATCTCTTGTATCAGGACAGCCGGCAGTGGAGGCAGCGCAACGTAGCAGAGGGTGGGCAAGCGGATCGGGATTGCATCCACTGGATCCACAAATCGAATGATATCTCAGAACCTCTCCGCTTGCTGCTAGCTAGCTAGTCAATTAGCTGGCACCGGTTGTATCTCAAACTACCGAAGGCATGCTCCCTCAACAACTTTGATTTCGCCAACCCTCTCCAGGTTGGTCTTCCAAAGATTTGTGTTTTTACGGCGACCAATAGCTGCCCTTTTTCACTGGGTAGAATTGCTACCAGATTCTACACAGAATCTGTTTTTGGTCCTCTTGCTGAGGAGTGCAACACACACAGCCAACAGCTAACGGCCATCAAGAAACCAACCTCATGCCAACTGCACAACTGCCATCAAGAAAGAAACCAACCATCCCTGTCGAAGTTATCTACATTGCCATTGAAGAGTAGTGTAGCAAGAGCTAGCGCTATAGTTAGGAAAAGGAAAAGGGATCATCGAGTTGGTTGATTCCATCAAGTCTGTGGACGAGGCAGAAGAGAACCAGTCGAGACATACATCATTTGGCGTTGATTGACTACAAGGGAAGAAGGCCACTGGTAGCATTGTTCAAAGCTGAGAAGCTGAGACGTCACAAGAGTTTTGGGAAGTCCAGTTAGAAGTTCATGAAGGCTGTCATCGATCAATCACACAAGTCCGTGGAGGCAGAAGACAACCAGTCGAGACGTACTAAGCTTCGTTAATTGCAGCACAATCCCCATTCATTTGGCGCTGATTGGCTGCAAGTGAAGAAAGTTGCTTGTAGGTTGTTCAAAGCTGAGACGGCAGAAGAGTTTTGGGAAGGCAAGCAATCTACCCGTTCAGATAGAAGTTAACGAGAGCTACCATCCAAATGTTGGTCGCATCACCCGCACAAGTCCGTGGAGGCAGAAGACAACCAGTCAAGACGTACTAAGCTTCGTTAATTGCAGCACAATCCCCATTCATTCGGCGCTGATTGGCTGCAAGTGAAGAAAGTTGCTTGTAGGTTGTTCAAAGCTGAGACGGCAGGAGAGTTTTGGACAGGCAAGCAATCTACCCGTTCAGATAAAAGTTAATGAGGGCTACCATTTATTATTGGTCGCACCGGTCTGAGGAAGGAAAACAATCAGTCAAGCCGGTGGTGCTCAAATACACTAAAACAATCTATTCCCGTTTACCCGACTTGCGTCGATCCCTTTCAATTGAATGCTCTTAACCCATGTTGATCGTTACAACAGCGACAAAGCGGACATAAGTATGGTAGCTACCACGAGTGACGAGTCCATATCATCATTGCGAGAGCGAAATTCGATTCGGTTACCGGAACCGGACGTCGCTCGTTGGATCTGTTTGGTTCTAAAGCTACAATAGCTATGCCCATTTTGAAAAGAGCAAAAGTGCTGCAGAAGTCGGCGTCAAAAAGATGCCGACTAAACTGTGGAGTTGCTTTGCAGGCATTTCAATAGCAGAAAACGAAGAACTTAGACTGGATTGTTCGGAGTGGTAGTTTGAATGTCGCACTTGGTGCTCATAACATCATTTGTAATAAAAAGCGATGGAGAGGAAACTCTGGCGATTTGGTTGATGCTATTGTGTCAGTGGTGTTCGATTCGATTTGCGTGCCTTAATCAAAATCGCAACGGAGAAAAGGCGACTTCCAAATGGTTTAGCACCGGAAAATCTCCAAAATTGAATTGTTTCTCAAGTGTCCGACAGCTCTGGTTTGAGCACTGATATTAACTACATTCCATCAAACAAATTACATGATCTAAAAACGGATACCTCAAGATGTCATGCATGCGCTATTGGAAAAATGGTCAATACATCCCTACAACAATGTGTAATAATGCAAAAGCTCTCAAAGCTCTATGGGAAGGCTTTGGACAGTACGCATTTTGTGGAAGGCATTAGATTTGGATGCTTTGTTGGTTATTTTCATCCAGGGTTGTTGACAGAGATCAACAGAACCATCGATGCAAGCACACATGCAAGTTTGTCCCTTGGGACATCTTGCAGCTGGCGGGAGTTGTTGAAAGCAGCAACACTTTTTCTGAACACAACAGTGGAAGAGGCGAAGACTTTGATAATTGCAACAACAATGATAGTAGATGAGCAGGACCTTCCGGAAACGTTTCGCTCCATGCTGAGTCAACTATGTTACTTTGATTCAACCAATTTGCAAGCATCCACTGCAACGTTGGTGCAGTCAAAAAATAGTGGCACCAACAAAATATGATTTTATTCGTATTGTTTCCCATGAAGGCCCTTTATCATCAAACGATATTCAATTCAAGGGATCGAAATACAATTTGTTTGTTCAATGGAGTGCAGTTTCAACCAGCGCCGAACCATTGGAAGTTATTTATGAAGATGCCGAAGATGAGTTGCAGAATGTTATGAGTACATGAGAAGCTATCTACTTGAGATTTCCTAGATTAGACCTCAGCCTACACCAGGTCCCACTTCCAACCCAGTTTCGGCCCTTGTTCCACCCAGCCCAGTGCTAGTCCATCAACATGCATCATCACTTCTGGCCCCACCTTTAAAACCACACCTGGACCTGAGCAACCGTACAGCAGAACTAAGATCCACTCCAGTCCAATTTCCAGCCGCTTGTCCATCATAGTCTCAGTGGTCCATCACCAGCAGGTCTGGCACCACATCAGGTCCATCTCATTCCCAGTCCCAGCACCTCTCTAGCCCCACTATCGCAGTCTCAGTGCTGCTGCTGGTATATTACTAGCAGTTTTGGTTCCCATCCTCGACTTACCCCTGGCCCAGCCCTTGGTCCATCACCACCTCCAACCCCTAGCACCACAGCAGGTTCACCCCAGTCCCAGCCCCAGCCCCAACACCTCACGTCTCACCGTCACAGTCTCATTTCTGGTCCATCACTAGCAGTTTTGGTTGCACCCCACCCTAGCAAGCAAATGCATTCACCCGCCCTATTACACTGCAAGCAAATACATGCACCTCACCCTACCCTACAAGCAAATGCATGCAACCCACAACCCTGCAAGCAAATGCATGCACCCCACCCTACCCTGCAAGCAAATCATGCAACCCCACCCTGCAAGCAAATACATGCAACTCCCACCCTGCAAGCAAATGAATGCAACCACCACCCTGCAAGCAAATGCATGCACCCCACTCACCCTAAGCAAGCAAATGCATGCAACCCGCTCCCTGCAAGCAAATGCATGCACCCCATCACCCTGCAAGCAAATGCATGCACCCACCCTACCCTGCAAGCAAATGCATGCACCCCACCCTACCCTGCAAGCAAATGCATATGCAACCCACCACCCTGCAAGCAAATGCATGCACCCCACTGCCCACCCTACCAAGCAAGCAAATGCATGCAACCCGCTACCCTGCAAGCAAATGCATGCACCCCACCCTACCCTGCAAGCAAATGCATGGACCTCACCCTACCCTGCAAGCAAATGCATGCACCCCACCTACCCTGCAAGCAAATGCATATGCAACCCACCACCCTGCAAGCAAATGCATGCACCCCACTGCCCACCCTACCAAGCAAGCAAATGCATGCAACCCGCTACGCTGCAAGCAAATGCATGCACCCACCCTACCCTGCAAGCAAATGCATGCAACCCACCCTACCCTGCAAGCAAATGCATGCAACCCACCCCAGTCCCAGCACCGCTGGTTCCACCATCACAGTCTCAGTGCTGCTCCATCAAAAGCAGCCAGTTTTGGTTCAAACCCTAGACTTGCCCCTAGCCTACCCCCCATAGTCCATCCCCAGCTCCTAGCACTTCTGGTCTCACTCCTGAACCACCCTTGAACTCACCGCAGCACAGTCTCAGCTCTGGTCCATCCAAAGCACATCCCAGTCCCAGCCCCAGCACCTCTGGTCCCATCATCACATTCTCAGTCCTGGTGGTTCATCACTAGTAGCAGTTTCGGTTCCAACCCTTGACTTGCCCCTGACCCCAGCCCATGGTCCATCGCCAGCTCGCTCCTAGCACTTCTGGTCTCACTCTTGGAACCACCCAAAATTAGACTCACCACAGTCTCAGCTCTGATCCATCCAAAGGCCAGCCCATGACTGTCAGACGTCAGCCAGTTTCCAGCACCCTTGCAAGCAAATGCTCGCACCCTCAAAAATGGCACAGAATGAGGTGCCTTTGCAACACAAATAAATTTTCCAAATTTGTTCTCTACGGCTTCTCTGGAATTGTTCGCCACCAGTAGCCCTTCAGGTCTACAATACAACACTCCAATCCAATCCAATCCAATCCAAGTAGCAAGCAAACTAATTCGATCCTTGTCTCCTCAAAAATGAACAGCACTGTGCAACCACCACTGCTGCTTCACGTTCACTACAATAGTGTCTTTTGATCTTTTGGCTGTACCCTCTGGATCTCCTGCATCAAGTGCTCTGCACTCCTCTGTCTATACTATGAACGTACTTGCCATGTTGCTTCTTTTTTGTGTGCTTTTCTGTGCTGTGCGTAAATGAACGACAAAGGGACTCCCTTGCCTTTAAGAAAAGTGTCCACCAGTCAAAGAACTGGGTTGGCGCACCCGGAGGGGCATCTTGTTCCATGATAAAAACATCTAATAATTAATTTAAAATCACCTCGCTGTTCAAGTCTTTTTTTCCATAGAGTCGACCTTGGGTTGTTGTTGCTGTTCGAAGTCCTTCCTATCGATAGATTCAAGTAGGATCCTCTTCACAAACTTCGGATCAGTGGTGCACTACGCTAAAAGCTAGTGTAAAGATCTTTCGAGTGTTTTGAGTTTGAGAGAATGAAAGTTATGAGAGAGATTAGAAAGCTATGAAAACTAATCAACGAGAGAGATCATCATCAAGGGATCGTAGATCTGGTTTCCCGCGGGAGACTGTGAAGTGTGATAGAGTAGGTTGTGGTAGTAATCCTACGTCTTTCCACGATCCTAAACGGAACGCGTGGAAGGTTTGTCTAGCCTGGATCTAGTAGCGTGGAAGTACTCCACGCTAGCTAAATATCTCGAGCGATGTTTCATCATCAATCTAGTATGACTAGTGCGGTCATTGAGAACCCTGTCTCAAATGACTATTCACGAGAGACTCAGTCATGAGTCGAACTCAAACCCTATCTAGGATCGAGTCGCGAATAAGGCTAAGAGCCGTGTATTGCAGTGGCAAATGGTTTCATCTTCTTAATAGAATTACCACCTATCTACAGTATTAAATCAGCAAACGTAAACACTCACTGTCGGAACCTAAAGTTGTTCAATGTGGCTACGTAAATGTTATTTACTGAACAGGCATTTAAGTCAGCGGGAGCTGCGATACCTCGGCAGAAAGACAGATAGAAGAATGATGACATGTTTGAGATTGCACCCTTCTTTCAAAGTAGCCCGAAGTCGGTAACCTTCTTTTTTATTTAAGCTAGCCCTGGCGACATCACCCGACTTCTAACCATAATTTTACAGCTGTCACGCCCGTACGTACCTGTAACTTTTGTAGCTTCTGCTGGCTTATTGTGTTGAGTGCACTAACCTTGAATAATCATGATTTATTCCTACCCCTAAATTTGTAGAGTTGGCTGGTGCCTATCTCTATCCCTGTATTTTGGCTTCACCGGAACAGGAAACAGGAAGCAGGAAACAGGAAACAGGAAACAGGAAATACCAAATAAGTCAGCGGGAGCTGCGATACCTCGGCAGAAAGACAGATAGAAGAAGGATGAACATGTTTGAGATTGCACCCTTCAGGTAGCCCTCGGCGACAACACCCGACGCCGCCCGGTATCATTCCCTCATTATAACCTTCGTTTTTATTTAAGCTAGCCCTGGCGACAACAACACGACGAAGTCGTGTGTTGTCGCCTACTATCATTCCCTCATTGTAAACTTCTTTTTTATATTAAGCTAGCCTTGGTGTTGCCACGGGGCTAACATAATTTCAGCTTCATTCGCATCATGTAACTTAAATTTACCTGCTGGCTTATTGTGTTTTTGTGCTGAGTGCACTAACCTTAAATTTCATTGATATATTCCTACCCCTAACTTATTATTGAACCTTCAATTTCCAGTTTTGCCAGCTATATTATCTCTATCCTTATACCCTGGCTTCACCAATAGGGGATCCCACAGACAGGAAATGAGGGGATCCCACAGACAGAATATTTGCCAAATAAGTCAGCGGGAGCTGCGATACCTCGGCAGAAAGACAGATAGAAGAAGGAGGATCATGTTCGGATTGCACCCATCTTTCAAGCTAGCCCTGGCGACAACACCCGACTACGTCGTGTGTTGCCGCCCGTATCATTCATTCCCTCATTGCAACCTTCTTTTTATTAAGCTAGCCCTGGCGACAACACCCGACTAGTCGTGTGTGTTGCCGCCCGACTTCTATAATTTACCAGCTTCATTCCCTTATTGTAACTCTAACCTTTACAGCTCCTGGTGCTTATTGTGCTGTTGTGCTGATTGCACTAACCTTAAAATATTAATGATTTATTCCTACCCCTGACTTGTATTGAACCATCAATGTTCAGTTTTGTTGGCTTATGACTATCTCTATCCTCATACTTTTGGCTTACCGGAATAGGAAATAGGAAATAGGAAATAGAAATAGAAAATAGAAAATAGAAAATAAGTCAGCGGGAGCTGCGATACCTCGGCAGAAAGACAGATAGAAGAAGGACGACCACCTCCTGCAAGCAACTTGTGGCTGATTTATAATTTATAGAGCAAATCCACGATTGGAATACAAAGAGGAGAATCTCGAGAATTGTTAGGTCGACCACTTGCCAATACATCCACAATAGCACAATACCATAAGCATTTCATTTAGCCATATTTCTCTAGAATCGCTGGCAATACATTTCTCCGCCACAGCAGAGTATGGCGGGCACAATGTGCTTTGTCGAGTGATTTTTTAACCCGCTCAAGTTGTAGATCATGATTCGTTGCACTATCTCTCCTCTCTTGCGCAATCTTCTTTCTATCATGCGTATGTTCAAATATGCTGAACTCTACTTGGAAGAAACCCGGATCCTTGCCAAAGAGTTTCTGTACCCTTTCGTCCCAATCATGCTCTAAGATTGCGTGGTCTTTCTTTGCCTGTTCTGTCAGTTCTGCAAGCTGAGCTTTCAGCCATCCTCTATTTAAAGAGTTTTCTAGGTCTTCAACACCACGTAGCTTCTGCAGCTTCTGTCGCTCCATCTTCAGCTGAACCTTTATCTTGTTTATTTCCAAAGCTCGATCAATGCAGAGCTGTTTGTCGTTGAAATTGTGTGCTTCAGCATCAAAGAATTCATTCTTTAAGCGGCGGATCCGTTTCCTATCTCGATCCTTTATTTTGGCAATCTCATATTCTTCGATAGATTGTTGTTCTCGATGCTTCTGCATGGATTCTCTTTTGACTTTCAACTCAGCCTGCCGTTCCTTGTCTGTTTGTTGTGCCTACTTTTTCTGTTTGGATCGCCGATTGGCTTCAATCTTCCTGCGATAAGCAGGTGTTCCGTACTTGACAGGCATGGTTGCTTGTTGCTTGTCACCCCGGTTGGTGCCTTGATGAATGGTCCTTGTCTCTGGATGGCTGTACAAGTAGCTGGCTGGTGCTTGTTGAGCTTACTACTAGTATGCGGTTGATGTCTATTGTCGAGATCGATGGCTGTTGGTTCGATGGATCGATGGATCGATGCGGCAAGTGGCAAGTTCCAAAAAATGGCTGCGGTGGCAAGTGGCAACCATGTAATCTTGACCCTATACCCTGGCTTCACCAAAACGAGGGGGATCCCACAGACAGGAAACCAGGGGATCCCACAGACAGAATATTTGCCAAAAAAGGGGTGGGGGGCTCAGGCAGATAGACTGCCGAGGTAATAGGAAATAGGAAATAGCATTAAAGGGGTTGAGAACTCAGGCAGTTTACCTGCCGAGGTAAAGGGGTAGAGGGCTCAGGCAGATAGACTGCCGAGGTAAAGGGGGTGAGGGCTCAGGCAGATAGACTGCCGAGGCAAATCGCCCCAAATAATATCAATGGCCTGCAGATATCGATTGTAGACCCCTCTCGCTGCTCGACACACTTCCTGGTGCCAAAGCAGCCAATTCGAATCCAAGCGGGCATACTTAAGAATCCGAAATTGGGATGGTGTGCACGAAGCCTGGCATCTTAAAGCTTCCCTTTTCAAGCCGACGAGGCGGTGGCGGCACATCCACCATGTTGAATTTTGCGGCGGGGATATTGAATGATTGTTGTCCGGTGCCGTTATCGTCGTCGCTGCCGCCGTCTTCTTCGTCAGAGGAAAGCGGGTGAACCAGCAGGTATTGCTTATTTTCCTCGTAGGTCTCGCTTGTCCCTCCTAGTTGAGTGTGCTTGCACATGACAGCAGCTAGAGGAAGCCCAAAGAATCTCCAGGGTTCTTCCTTGGTGCCTCTAGTATGGAAATAGTGGCCATTGCAATTCAAATCCATAAAAATTGATGCACAGTCGCCCACGTACGAGGTTCGCTCAGTGGCCTGTCCCTTGAGGCAGATGCTCCCTTCTACCACCTCTGGAGGGTTCCTCAATCGTGCATGAAACCGACCCTAAAATAGGGTCGGATTTAGGGTCGGATTCCCTTTAGGGTCGGGTTTCGAAACCGACCCTAAAAATAGGGACGTTTTCTGAAAAATAGGGACGGTTTCTGAAAAACCATCCCTAATTTAGGGTCGGGTTTCGTTTTAGGGTCGGGTTTGAAAAACGTCCCTAAATAGAAACGGGACTGCCTGGTAAATACATTGAAAACGCACCAATATTAGGGTCGGGTTTCGAAACCGACCCTAAAAATACGGACGGTTTCTGAAAAAACGTCCCTAATTTAGGGTCGGGTTTCGTTTTAGGGTCGGGTTTTGAAACCGTCCCTATATTTAGGGACGGATTCCCCAAACCGACCCTAAATTAGGGTCGGATTTAAAGTCATGCACCATTGAGGGACGCTCCTGGAAATCGAGGCATGTTGCTCTGGGTCTTATAAGGAACCTCCACTGTCGCAACAAGTTCACGCTGTCGAGCACCAAAGCCCACGAGGACAGCGCCCTTTGACGGCGGAACCGAATCGAGCACTGGGGGAGGCAATGTCAGGCCGAGGAGTATTCCCTCTCGGCGTGTCGGCAGCCACACCTGCAGCGGGAATATCTGCAGCAGTGTCGTCCTCTTCTTCATCTCGTTTGCGCTTGGAGTTTCCAGTGTTTCCGTCCATCGTTGCTTGGTAATGATACTATTAGTTTGGGAGAATGCCCTCACGATTGAATGGCTCCAATTAACAGGCAGGGATGGGTGCAGACAAACGCCGGTCAACTGACTTACTAGTACAGTACAGTACCAGTACTAGCTAGCTAGTAGGTACCATAGCGACCATAGCCTTGATGGTGGGGGTCGGCCACCGCGTTACTCTAGTAGATACGGTAGCTACCGGTATCGGTTGACCTGTAGCTACACTATTGCAGCTTGGTACGGTATTTCCAACACATCAAGTCCACGGCGACAAAGCAACGCCCCAAAGTTGGCTCGACTCCATTTTAAGTCACCGTCACGACGGAAGCCAATGGGTACCGATACTAACGCTAGACTAACCAACAAAGGATAGGGGTCGTATCACAGCATTTATTTCCCAACTGCTTCGGGCTATCCGATCCTGCCCAAATAGTGGAAAGTTCAAGAGCCGGTAAAAGTCTCGAGTGATAGAGCTGGTGGACTCCTAAATCACTGATAACGAGTACAGTCAGAGACGCGGTAAAAATTTCCCTATCCTCAGGCTCCTCGGACTAGCAAGCTAGTAGTCTAGTTATGCGATACAGTATTGTATCCGTTTGGTCAAGGACATCCCAGTTTGGTGCAACGGGCCGCTTGCTTGGTCGTTGCTGTCCAGTAGCGAGCACAGCTTAGCCTACCGTATGCCAGCTAAGACGTAGACGACAGGATCCATCAATAAAAGCTGAAGAAACACGTTTGAATCCGAGTCGACCACGGTAAAAGAGATTTCTGGGATTGTGAGGTCTCTTTCTGATCGTTTTGTTTGTTGGACCAAGAAGATAGAGCGATGCTTCGGAAGACTCTACCTTGGGCTGCGCTGCAGCTCCCGAAACAGCAACATGACATTGTCACACGTTGACAGTGTGGAGCAGTTTTTTCGAGAGGGCACCAAGGATGATAGCCGCCCAAGGAACTACTTGTAGTCTCCCAGCTAATTATCACCTCAACATTAAACCAAGTATCGTAGCATGCTGGCATCAGACAATTGATCCTTGAACAGAGATGGCTCAATCATCAGTTTGATATTACGGAGGCTCCTTCTAGGCTGAAACTGGCTTCATTCTTGAATCGAAGTTGCGTCAATTCATAAACTTTGACACACATCCTTTGTCTCCCATCCTGTCAAAGCAAAAATGAATAAGTGATGATATGCCCTGGAACAAGCACGCCACAGAGAGCTACCTGGATTTAAGAACTCACCTCTGGAGTTGGTTGCTTGTAAAGAACATCAACTCTCCTCCCTTCAAACCCTCTCACTTTGTGCCCAAGGTGCATAGCATTCCTGATCCTCTCTGGAAGGTATGGCTTGAACATGGCCCAAAGTGTGTTGACTGAAGTTGGAGAGTTGAGAAAGAAGTCTTCCTTGTGGGTCTTGGGGTAGGGTATGTACAATTCGTGAATCTGTTTTTGAGTCACAACACTGTCAAAGTTGATGAAGCCACTATCCATACACTCGCAGAGTTGTGTAAATCCAGCCCGCATTGCCGCAAAGTTGGGAAAGAGGCATTGATAGAGAGTATGCCACCCAGCCATGAAAATCTGCAACTCTTTGTCCATCCGTACTTTATCTGGTTGGTAACACGCAACATCGACCATGAACATGTAGTTGCTTGTGGAAACCAACGGTTCTACCGCCACATGGAGACCTGGCTGCAGCATAGTCAGCTGATAGAAGAACTCGCCTGCCTCCATGGCATCTCCATGGGTTATGTTGTACTCTTTGTAGAAGCACTGCATGGCATACACTCGCTGACAAATGGCTTCAATTGTTTCGTTGGATTCAGAAGCAAATGCATATTGCACATACATGTAATCTGTCAAATTATCCAGTTCCGGGTTCGCTTCAACAGCACACTTTATGGCACGGCTGCGCTCCAGTTCTGCCCGAGTCAACTGCATGCTGGGATCATCAGGCATGAGAACACTATGTTTACTGTCCGGTGTTGCCACGGAGGTCATGAAGGTACCGGTATGTTGTTGAGTTTGGTCGATACAATACTAAGCGTTCAGCCACACGGGGTCTGCTGCTATAACAACTTCTACGGATTGGACTCTTGCTAGCTAGCTGCGGCGAAGGAAGAGCTTGGTCGTCGTCGTTGTGGCCGCTGCTGAGGGAGACTAGCTTGAAGTAAAGTAAAGTGAAGTAAAGTAAAGTAAGAGAGGGTGACAGATACCGGTAGAAGAGGACAGAAGACAAGGAAATGGTGCGTGGTCATGGTGGTCAATGGTCACTCAATTTCTTCCTGAAAACGTTTTTCTCGACCTCCGTAGAATTGTGTTCTCCGCCACCCACATTCTTAAAACATAAAAGGGTAGTTGGGGTCAATAACGTGCGTCAATTTATCCAATTGATTGCCCAACTTCTGGAATGAGATATTCTCCTCGCTTCTCTTTCCAACGCAATACATACTCTGGTTGGGAACGTCAGTCCCGGACGATGACAAACAAATTACTGTACTGTACCGGCACGTACCGGTACGAGCTTTCGTACTATTAATTAATAGTACGTGTTCGGATCTGCTTCTGCTAGCTACGGTACGGTACTATTTAATAGTAGTACTAGTTAGTACCTCCATCAGCCCAACACGGTTTGCTGCGATGAAGGCGAAAGAGGTTGTCCAGCCCGTGGCTCGAGTTGGAATGGGGGAAGACAACCAGTAGAAGGTGCGATACGGTACTGTAAGAGCTCTAAAGTATGCATATACCGAGAGGATCGATTTATAAGGTTTCGTTTCTGATCCTTGTACAGTACTCTACCGTAGCTAGCTACCGGTAGTCTATGATGCTGTTGCTGGCTTGCCAACAGCATGCGAGTCCATGATAAATTCGTTTTAAGAGTTGCGACGGTGCTGCTTATTGTCATGCTTTTTTTAAAATAAAAGGTTCCTGATCATACCGTACTGTAGTACAATACGCTACGTTTACATGATCCGACACTCTTCATCTCCCGCCAGGAAGGGTGGCATGGCACTCTCCATTTTGGGGACCCCCTCTGCATCAAATTCCAGTCCGGGTGCAATATCTTGCACAATCTCTACGGGAGGCTGCCCAAATCTAATACGTAACACATACATGTCCAACGTTGATAGTGGAGTGTGAGTGGAATGACAGACAAAACAAATAATAAAAAAGAGAATCAATCAATCAATCAATCAAACGCAACACAAAAAAGACAATACGTACTCTTGAACGTCTTGCATGAGTTTCATGAGCAGTGGTGTATTGTCGGGTTCGGTATCGTAGGCATGCACCAATTTTTGAAAGCATTTGTATTGTTGACAGCGACTGGTGTATTGTGTGGGTGGTAATTTGTCTTTGTGATCTTCCAGCCATTGCGGAAATTTTTCCGTGACGGATTTCATGGGTTCGTACATGAGTTCTTTGGACAATAATTGTTGCATCATTCCATCGATCAGGGCATCGGCTCCATCTGTATTTCCATCATCATTATCGTTTCCAATAGTAGTCCCCAGTTGTTGCATCATTTCTTGTAGCATGTCGAGTTCTGATGTTGTTTCCGTGGAATTGTTATTGTTATTGGTAGAAGTATTGGTAGTTGTGTCTTTGGCTTGTTGTTGTAGATTTTCAAAGAGCGAATTGAGCGTTTGATCAATATCGGCATCGGTATTTCCGGTTGTAGTAGGTGGAGGTGGAACGACGGTGGATGGTCGAGGCGTTTTGGGTCCAGTTTCGAGATTTTGGAGTTGTCCCAGTTGGGATTGCATGGCTTGTAGAAAATGACCCAACATTTCGTCTTCCCCATCTCCTCCTCCTTGTAGTAACTGCTGCATCAAATGGTCCATTTGATCCACGACGGGTGGTTGGGTGTCCGACTGTGCAGTTGCCGCAGAATTGGTAGCAGTACTCGTAGCAGGAGGAGGATCTTCCACACTATTTTTGGGAGCGGTTTCTGTGATCTCGTCGGGTGATTGCCTGGCATCGGCGAACTGTTCCTCCTCTTCCTCATCGCTGTCATCCAAATCATCCAATGCTGCATCCAAGGCAGCGTCAATCTTGGCTTGCGTCTCGGGGTCCGTCATGGTCGATACGAACTGAATGCTGTTCGATGTGTTGTTTGTTGTGTTGGTATATATAGATTACTATGGAATTACACTAGTAGGCTAGAGGCTAGGGGTGATGGATTTGGGTTTGTTGGAGTTGGAAGGAATTCAATCGGGTTTGGCGAAGAAAGATTTTTGAGAAGGGGATCCACAGGACGCACATTTAACCAAAAGAAATGACGTCAGTTGCCTCCAAACCACAAAAATCAACAACAGAAACTCATCACTCCAATTATTGCGAAGAGGCGTCAACATGAATGAGTGTGCATGGTGTTGATTATTGTTCGATCGCAGCAACCCATCCTCCACTGACCATTTACTCTAGCTAGCTAGTACTGAAGTGGAGCTCTTTGATTTTCCTTTGCGAGCAGGGAACTTGAAACTTGCAGTCGACCCTTTTCCTCGCACATCATCATCTTGGTCTTTGCAGAATAAGTGAAGCTGTTTTTCCTCCCACGCCACAGATAAGACAGCGATGCGACAATTATTATTATTATCAAGTACACTCATGATAATGATGATGATGCTATGGTGTGGTGTCAGCATCCGATACACTGCGGCATTCTCCACAACAAAGACGGTGATGGTGAGACCAATCACCGCTCGCATTCTTTTTCACCAAACATCATCAAAACAGTCAAGATTGTTCTTGTCCACAACGACATCCGAAAAGGTCAGCAGCAGCAGCAGCAGCCATGTATCGCTCTATGGGATTGACTGGGTCCGAACTGCCGTGGTGAAAAGTCTCAACGATCTGTTTGATCCCAAAGAAGTTGCACGAGGCAATGCCTTGGCCAAACTCAACAAACCAAAAAAGAAGAAAAAGAAAAAGAAGAAACAACAGCCAGAAGAAGATGAACAACAGCAACCACAACCAGAGGAACCAACCATGTCCAAAGAAGAAAAGAATGCCATTGTCGATGCCGCCGTGGCAGCTGCCAAACCATTCTCCTACGAAGATGTCATGGTGACACCGGCCACCAGAGATGATTTTGGGGATTATCAATGCAACGCTGCCATGGGATTGGCCAAGGCTGTGGGAATGAATCCAAGGTACGTCCATACATCCATTCATACATACATACATTCGTGATACATTGCATCACCTAGCTAGCTGGCCAGTCGCAGCTATCTATAGCAAAAGTGTGCTCCATCTGAATTGTTGGAAGAAAAAAGATACGATCCCATTGTGTTTGTTCCTTTGGTCAATCTCTCAACAATTTTACTGCTTGCTTGCTTACCTTGTTTGTTATTGACTGGAATATAATCAAGAGAATGTGCCACCAAGATTGTGGAACGTCTCCGACCGGACATTCAAGATATCATGGAAGAACCCGAGATTGCCGGTCCGGGCTTTATCAATCTAAGATTCAAACAAGAGTACTTGGCTGCCGCTGCCAGGGCCATGGCACAAGATGCACAAGGAAAATTGGCCATTCCGCCCACTTCCAACCAAAAAAAGATTGTCGTAGACTATAGCAGTCCCAACATTGCCAAGGAAATGCACGTGGGACATTTGAGATCCACCATTATTGGCGACACACTCTGCAATCTTCTCGACTTTTGTGGACACGACGTTGTCCGGCTCAATCATGTCGGTGATTGGGGCACCCAGTTTGGAATGCTGGTAGAACACTTGAGAGACGAATACCCTGCGGCACTGAACAAGGAAACGTCGCAGGATGTCGACCTGGGTGATTTGGTCATGTTGTACAAGGCGGCGAAGAAACGGTTCGATGAAGACGAAGATTTCAAGACAAGGGCCCGGGAAGGAGTTGTCAAGTTGCAGGCTGGGAATGCCGAAGAAATTGCTGCCTGGGAGTCGCTGTGTGCGGCTAGTCGAGTAGAGTACCAAAAGGTACGTTCACTGTGGTAGATTGGTTCTCCTTCTTTGCCAAATTGGTGGTCGCTTACCATTCTTCTTGTGTCTTTGTCTGTGTGTGCAGATCTATGACGTGTTGAACATTAAGGGTCTCGAAGAACGAGGAGAATCATTCTACAATCCGCTGTTGTCTGGTGTAGTCGAAGACTTGGAAAAGCAAGAGCTGGCAGTGGAGAGTAACGGCGCCAAGGTGGTCTACCTGGAAGGTGTAAGTTGATCTCTATTGTATGCACATTCGCAACTTGAAGGATTTCTCTCGCTGATCATGACCTGTTTGGCCGGTTCATTGTATTTGCAATGGTCGCTTCTCAGTACGAAGCCCGTGACGGCAGTCCTCTTCCCATCTTGGTTCAAAAGTCCGACGGCGGCTTCAACTATGCTACGACCGATCTAGCGGCAATTCGACAACGCACAACCATCGCTGCCTCCGAGGGAGGAGAAGAGGCTGATCGTGTCTTGTATGTTACGGATTCAGGACAAGCACAGCATTTTGACATGGTCTTTCAGGCTGCTAGAAAGGCATCGTTTATACCCGATTCCGTTTCGCTCGAGCACGTTCCCTTTGGCTTGGTACAAGGCGAGGACGGCAAAAAGTTTGCCACTCGGTCCGGTGACACAGTCAAGCTAAAAGACTTACTGAACGAAGCAGTTCGAATTGCAGGGGACGATCTCAAGTCGCGCAACGAAGACAGCAGCGACGCGGCGTTTGCGGAGCGAATCGACCGTGTTGCCACTATCGTGGGTATTGCCGCCGTCAAATATGCCGATCTTTCCATGAACCGGGAATCCAACTACCGCTTCAGCTACGAACGCATGTTGAGTCTCAATGGGAACACGGCTCCGTACATGCTGTATGCATACGCCCGTATTTGTGGTATCATTCGCAAAGCCAGTGGCCAAGAAGGTAGCGACGGCGACTTTGAATGGCCGGAGGCCTCGGATGTCATAATATCCCACGACACCGAACTGGAACTGATCCGAAACTTGGTGAAATTGCCGGATTTGATCAATGATGTGGAGCAAAGCTTGTACCCTCACAAGCTTTGTGAATACCTCTTTCAGACGAGTCAAAAGTTCAATCAGGTGAGACTGCTACCACAGCGGGAACGTTGAATCCATACCATGAAATAATGGTTAGGAGGTCATCGCAGAGAAGAAATACTGACAGAATCTTTGTTGTTTGTTTGCTTGTATCTTGCGCAGTTTTACGGAGCTTGCTCTGTCAACAATGCGGATACCCCGGAACTGAAAGCCAGCCGTCTGACGCTGTGCACGGCCACAGCTGGGACAATTCGATTGATTCTGAACTTGCTCGGCATTCAAACAGTGGAGCGTCTGTAGTACAGCGTAGTATGACAACACAGCTATTCCAATCAAAAGTAATGTACATGTAGAACTTGAGGATGATCTGGAGGCTCCTGCCAGTATTGTTGGACTATAGATTTGATGGATTAAATTCGTTTGACAGCCCGCGGCGAGCATGATCTCGTACTGAAACAATTGTCGGGAACGGCAGATGCAAGCACCTCTTTGGAAATGGTACGGAAATACTTTGCGGCAGCGGAAGGAGAAAGGGTGCAGATTTCCTTGAACTCTCCGATTTGACTTGCATCATTGATTGCGCCTCCTCCTGATGTACAGTAGTCTCACGAAGATGTTTTACTTTGCTTCAGTACAAGTCAGGCTCTCCCTTGGCTAGCTAGATAGCTGCAAAACAAGCTATCGTTACAGCATGCATACAGTTGTGTTGTGTTGTGTTGTGTTGTATTGGTTGAGAGTGATCATCGGGATTGTGTGTCTTGGTTGTCCTCCACGATCTTTATATATCCACGATGTGCAGAAGCGCAAAATCATTGGAAGCATTTCCGTTCAGGCCTGCGGGCGATCCCAGGAGCGAGGGCCAGATGACAAAGAACACTTGCAAGAACGAATGAAATCTTAGAACGACCAAAGTCAAAGAACAGCCATTCTCACCACCACACTTGGCTTTGAATCATTAATTTTTTTCAGACAGCCGCAAGGACATCAAACCCAATCAAAACAGCCAAGCAACAAGCAATAGTCTCTTCGAAATGGCGCTCCCACCGCAAGTACAGCAAGGAATCGAAAAGGTTGATGAGTTCATCGCCCAGTACCCCGCCCTTACGCAATATGGTATGTGCTCGAGAGAAATTCTGGATTGGAGTGAAAGATCTGTTCGACCAAACAATGCGCGCGTGAGATGTGTTGCCGCGAGCGGTACAGGCGGAGTGGCCTTTGGATGAGATTGGAGGAAGCCCTTCTGCTGATGGATTGTCATGCGAGGGACCGCGATGAACATTTGTGGTCGATGGGGTTGAGCGCTTCAGCAACGTGGATAGGATCTTCCGTATCTTCTGTCGTACTTTGGGGTTCTCGTTCTTTTGGCTTGTTTCTGTTTTCTCACTGTCTGTGTCGTCCCACCTCTTACCTTCCTCTGCCCATCACACGCTCCACTCCACCATCAACCTCTATGAACACGACAACAATGACAATAGACAAACTGAAAGAACTGGAAGAAAAGACTGGCTACTCCAAGGTTTATTTTTTCCTTGCCTTTTGCACAATTATGTCTGGACTTTTGATCCTTTTGGGAGGAGCCAAACTGATTGTTGATTTGCTTGGATTTGTTTACCCTGCCTACATGTCTTTCAAGTCTATGGATGCAAACAATGGAGAAGATACTCAGTGGTGCGTTTGTCCGGGGTGTCTTGTGTCATTTGGCAAACTACTGCCGCATTGCTTTTTCATCGATCGATCAAAACCCTCATTTTCATTTGCTTGCTGTTTCCATCCAAATTTTTTCAGGCTGACCTACTGGGTGGTTTTTGCCTTTTTCAGCATTATCGAAGGCATGGCTGGGTTCTTGACCCGTCTCATTCCCTTTTACTTTTTGACCAAGGGAGGATTCATTCTTTGGTTGTACCATCCTCAGACTATGGGAGCCCAGTCCATTTATGCCGGAGTCATTCGTCCCTACATGCTGCCCTACTTGGACATTAATGGAACTGGTGGAAAAAAGACGGAGTAAACCAAGTGTTGAAAAGGAATGAAATGACGAGGCAGAGCCTATATATCCATTGTAAACAGCAGCGATGACAACCGCCAAGACGACAAACACAATAAAAAAGTAGAAATTGACCAATATACAAAAACCCGTGGAGAATACCTTGGTCTCGACTCGATCGTCGTTTTGGCTGCTGCCTGAAAATCTAGAAATGGAATATGACGGCGCCATCGGCTATGCGCCAGTATATGGAGCAACGCATGCCTCCGTTTGAGTGCATTTTGCTGTTCGCTCTGTGGACCCGCAATGTCCTGTCTCGTACAAATCGGGGACTAGCTATACATGTAGTAATTATCGAATGCCACGCTATTCTTTTGCAGTGCCGGTATAGGCACCTGATGGGCAAGTCTAAATTGTTTCAGCGCGTGTTGGTTGATTTCGAGATTGGTGGTCTGGCTGGGCTGCAACGGATCTGGTACCGAGGTTGCTTCAAGGGTACGGTAGGGTTGGTACGGACGACGGGTTGCGCTTCGCTCGTGGCATGCTGCACACTGGCTGAGAGCACCGAGACGAACTTCTTGCGCTCCACTCGCTTGAGGCCAGGCGACGAAGGCGAAGATCGTCGAAGCCTGGCCCGGGGATCACCAAGACACCAGTACTTGAATTGAAAGACTACTAGTAGAAGGGTGCGATAGTTTGGCGGCGAATAGAAGGCTCGAACACCTACCGGTACAGTACGACAACTATCTGCAGTAGCACGTCAATTTTTGAATGGGTGCATTGTTCGAGATTTTGGGGACCTGAGATTGTGAGCGTATTTTGGCTTGGCTTCCTTCGCGATGCCCTTTTCAAAGGCTCTTCTGGCCTCTTGTATCTGGTGAAGTTGGCAGTTGGCGGTGTATAGTTATAGCACTTTATTTACAAACGTCGTTGATGCAAATATTGCTTGCACAAATGGAGTTGAAGGAAATGTAACCAAAACCACAGCTTGTTCCCGGTGGAAGGCCCCCACAATAGGAAGATGACTCAGTGGACTTTTGACCATTGGGGCAGCAAATGCTGGGTCCGGTGGTGCCGTTCAAAGCACAAGCCCCTGATTTGCAATCGGCATCTTCTGAACAGAAAGAGTTGTCGTCCAGCGCCTCACCCACACATGCATCATTGATACATAGTCCACTTGCACAAATTGAATTATAAGAAACATAAGTGACACCACAGCTGGTCCCAATAGGAAGGCCACCACAATAGGAGGCTGACTCAGCCGACAGCTGACCATCCGGGCAGCAAATATAGGACCCAGCGGTGCCATCCAAGCACACACCCCTGTGCGGCAATCTGCATTTTCTGCACATGGAGAGTAGTCCTCAAGTGCCTCACCCACACACTCATCATTGATGCAGAGGCCACTAGCACAGATGGAGTTGTAGGAAATGTAAGTGAAACCACAGCTGGTGCCAATGGGTAGGCCACCACAGTAGGAAGATGACTCAGCTGACAGTTGACCATTTGGGCAGCACATATAGGACCCAGCGGTACCATCCAAAGCACATGCCCCTGTTCTGCAATCAGCATGTTCTCCGCAGGCAGCGTAGTCCTCCAGTGGCTCGCTAACACACACATCATTGATACAGAGGCCACTAGCACAGATGGAGTTGTAGGACATATAAGTGAAACCACAGCTGGTGCCAATGGGTAGGCCACTGCAATAGGAAGATGACTCAGCTGACAGTTGACCATTTGGGCAGCAAATATAGGACCCAGCAGTGCCACCCAAAGCACAGGTGCCTCCTCCACAATCAGCATGTTCGCGACAAATGTCAAAGTCTGGCAACAGTCTGGGGTCGTATGTATTGACAGGGCTCGAGATGGAAGTCGAAGCCGCCTCTGTCGTGCCAGTAGAAGTGGGCGGCGTAGTCGGCCAAAGAGAGGTGGGGCTTGAGGTCTTGGGATTTCCAGCGGTTGGATTGCTTGTTGTGGGATTTCCAGTGGTTGGATAGTCTGTTGTTGGGGTACCAGTAATTGCTGTGGGTGCCAGTGATGGCTTTGGCGTTGTGGGGCTATCGGTGAGAGTTGGAGTCGCAGTGGGTGCCAGTGATGGCCTTGGCGTTGTGGGGCTATCGGTGAGAGTAGGAGATGATGTGGAAAGCCCCGCAGTTGGATTGGTTGTCGTTGAAGTTTTGGGGGTTGCCGTGGGATTCTTTGTGGAAGGATCCAAGGTTGCGGGGCTCTGTGTGGGGCTGATGTCGACAACTGCAGGACTGCCCGTGTTGGAAGTTGTCTGACCGGATATGGGAAACGACGTGTCGCCTTGTCCGCGCGACTGGCAAACAGGACCGTTGCAAGCCAAGGGCTTCGTTCCGGCGATGGTGTCATCGATCACACAGATTGCCAAGGCGCGCATTTCCGTTAAACAGTCCATCATGCAACAACCTGTCCTGCTGTATGTCTTGCAAATAGTCTCGGAAATGCTGCCACAGCCAAGATCTCCTGAGTTTGTGAAACGAGAAAGGATGAGTCAGAGCAACGATGTGATTCGATTCACTTGCAAGATACAGCCTGAATTACCTTGCGAGGGTGAATCCGACGATGTCGGACAGACCTCCACAAAGTTGCTGCATTCAGTTTGAACACAAAGAAGAAGGACCTCGTACAACAGAGGACAAAGTGACTCGGCTTCTTCTACTGTCAGAAGGATATCCTTTCCAAGATCCAAAAGGAAATTGTCGCCCAATGGATTGGTTTCTAGTGTGGCGGCAAGTGAAGGAACCGTCGTCGCCGTGTCTGGGGCACTACTAGTTGGACTGACTGCACTTGGGATTTTTGTAATCACAGGGCCATCATTTGTTGGATCTTTCGTCGTTGGATGGTGAGTATCGAGAGACGGGTTTGTCGAAGCAGTGGGCATGCCTGTTGCTGTTGGAAAGTCCCTGGTTCCTGTAGGAATGGACGGGTTGCTCGATGCTATTTCATGGGTGGGCTGGTAGGTTGGCGAACCGGTCGGCCTTACGGGGAGCTCTGTATTGGAAACTGCCTGATCATTCTTCAGAATCACTGCAATCACAACTGCCGGAACAATGACAATCAGCAAGAGGAAAAAGCAGCATGCAGCAGCAGTCCAAACCCAAAATCCTTTCATCGTGAATGTCAGAACTCTGCCATTGCCGGTGCTAAAGTTTATTGTTGATGGTCTGTCATCTTGATGATTCTGCTGATGTGATTGCTCGCTGTGTGTTGTCAATAGCGGTTCTGCTTGAGAGCTCTCTGCTTGTTGCTGTTGCAGCTGCCGTCGCTGCTGTTCTTGTTGTTGTTCGTGTCCGGAAGTTGTGGTTGTCGTTAGTACATCAGTGGGTCCTGTGGCAGCAGAAATCCCAGAGCATTCATCCTGCATTCCGCGTGTCTTCAAGCCGATCATAGTGTCAGTCCATACGGTTCCACGGGGTCGCACTGGAATTTGGAGCTCTTGATCCTCGTGATTGTTGGTGTTGGAAGCGATCCTTGGTCCTGTTCGCAGGTCGAGGACGCTGCTGTGGGTGGCACTTGGTTGAGTAGCCAACAAACCAGAAGAGTCTCTCCTGTCGCCACCAATATCTGTGAGTGGTGGGGGCCTCTCTCTGGGATATGGCAATGTCACAACAGGGGTATCATGCGTCATGGTAGTAGAGGACGGCAAGGCCGTGGCAACAGCCGTCGGAAAGATCTCATCTTGCGAAGTCACGGGCATGCCCCCGCCAGATCGAACACTGCTTTGGTACATCTTTCCTTTTCCTCGATGCGACGTCTTGCTGTCTTGGTCTGCCGCTCCTGCAGTACAACTTGCAAGGAGCTCGCGTAAAAGCGGGGGCTTTGGGCCGTCCAGTCCTCGGTCGCTCTCAGGCTCTCGGGCTCTGCCTTTGCCTGGCGAGTTGGTTTTCCACTTTCCACCTGGATGCAAGTGAATCCACGTCTCGCGCCGAAACCAAAGAATTAGGGTGTACTACCCTGTTATACTTTGAAAAGTGATCATTCGGGATTCGATTCATTCGATTATTCGATTTGATTCTGGAAATCAAAACATTCCGACGCAAAAAACCGAAATTTTGAATCTATTTTGACCATTCTTGTAATCTTCAAGAGCACGGTACTGTACGAGATAAGAGCGCGGGTCAAGCAAATGCTACAAGAAGTGTGAATTACCGTACTGCATGGACAGCAGCGCACAAACTGGCAAATTGCTAAAACAAGCAAAACGATGCAATGATTGAACCCTCAGGCACACGGATTGAATGCGACGGTGTCGCTAGCTAGCTAGACGAGTGCGCGAACCGACAACATGGCATTGAGCCGCACTACTAGCTAGCTAGCTAGTAGCTAGCTAGAAGCTTCACACAACAACACATTTCTTTAGAATTCTCTTTTTTAATAATAAAATGCAATGCATAAATCTTTCTTTCGTTTTTTTCTTTTTTTCTTTCTTCGTTTCTTTGTGGGTCAAACACCTCAGTCAGAGGAGCTACAACAATGGGGTGGAGGAGCAAGGAAGAATGCTCCTGGGGAGGAGCGGGCAGATCTCTAATCTCTACATCGCCGCCGGCACTCTCATTAATCAAACGACACAATTTTGTTGGCCACCTGAGCGATGGAGCCGTCAACTGGAGTTGCCCTGACAAACACAACTTTGGTGGTGGTGACGGGGTCTTCATCTTCAATGCACAGGACGACCTTGCCGGGTTCCAAGTCGGTTCTGCGAAAGACAACTGTGACTTGATCTTTCTGATGACTGCCACCAATCCTGGTTATCGCAAAGTCAGCTTCCACGAGAGCGCCATCCAAAGTTGAAAGTGCAATGATGCATTTCATGTTGTCAGGCATGACCTTCACCTCACACTGGAACGTTGGCACTGGAGCATCTCTGGTCATTGTCTGGGGTAGAAGGCTGGGATTACTCGCCTTGATGATTCCAATCTCTTTACGCAACGCTTCGCGCGTTTCAGCCATGAAGGCTTCCAGAGATCCGTGCATGGACTCGTGCATCTCAGAAATGGACTGTTCCATGGTCTGCACCGAGTCTTTAAGCATCTTGAGCTCCGCTTTGATCAGGGATACAGTCGACGAGGTATTGTGATGGATGCCATGAGAGCCACCATCAGCGATTTCTTCAAGACGACGGACCCCACATTTCGTATTCAGATCATTTCGGATCCCAACGAGGTAGTCAGCTGTCATCTGCATGTTTTCGTAGAGCACGGCAGTATTTTCCTGAAAGTGGCGCATAACATGCATGGGTTTAGTCAACTTGCAGAGGCATCAAAAAGGGCGGCTTTGGTTACATACCTGGGACTCCACCTTAGCCGGTTCCTCTGAAAAGATGTCGTACAAGTTGGCGAAAACATCATGGGCCTGTGTAATCAAACAAACCCCAGGCACAATCCCGTACCGGTTTATGGTGGCAGTGAGCACTTATAGTGGCATAAAACCTTGAGGGGGTTTCAAATGCACATACCTTGGAGAGAATCTTCAGGATGATTCTTGTTATCTTTTTGGCAACCGCTTTGGTCACCTTACAAATGTTACTAGAAATGCAAACAGGGTCACAAGGACACTCTGTATCATCTATCAGTGAAACAACATAATCCATGCCACTTTTGGCCTCACTAAATGGAATGGGCATGGATGGCAGGGGGATGGTATGGAATGGAATGGAATTGAATGGGAGTAAACTGAACAACTATGCATGGAGGAACTGTTCTTCAGCACTCTCAGCTTACCTCAACCCATACAAAAACAACTTCATGCCCTTGTTGTCTTTAACTGGCGGGGATTTAGATTTGGCTGAATCAGGAAAGCACAGCATGAGTGGTCAAGTGTCATAAAACAGCAACAGCAGGTTCTGTAGTGCAAGCAGCACTCACTCCGGTCAGGTGGCGTGAGTTGCAAGTTTGGAGCCCCACTTTTAGTTCCAGGGGCAGGTGATCCTTGTTTGAGAAACTCATCCAAAAAGGTGAAATCCACTGTGTACTTCAGCTGTTTAATGTCATCACAAATCTTTTTGGGGATAAAACGTTAGAGAAAGTCATTCGGTCATACGAGTAAAGAGATTGAGCTGGTGTGCAAACTTGCCTGAGCATCATTGACAAATAGTTCATCCTGCAGTGCACCCAGAAACAAAAGAGCCGTGTTGAGACACAATCCCATTTCAGTTACTTTGAGACCATGAACTTACAAAGCCAAAATAAGCCCTTGCCCGGCCGCACTGCTGGAGATCTGTTACATCTGCAATTTTGGGTGCTGCATCTAAATACTGCAGGAATGCAGGAGTGTTATCAGCAGCGGCGCCAGCTTGGGAAATGAGGTCTGCAACACATGTCTTTAGGACATTGCAATTAACAGGAGTAGGGCACCATGTGCCACCTTGAGCATCGCAGGCTTCCTTGTTGATACCTGCCAAGTAAGGTCCTGGATTCCCACAGACTTTACCACATTGGAACTGGTTCAAGAAACATTCAATGGTTAGATTTCGGCTCTAGTAGTGCAGTATACAACAGAACATCAAACTTACTGGATGTCCCCACCTGTGAGATGCCACAAAGGAAAGGTGAAGGTGAGGATTGCATGAAATGGTGAGAATGGGGCAATCTGCCGATTGACTATGGATGTAAACACGTACTCGTTGCCTGGACGCTCATAAGGAGCATCTAGACAGCAGGTCCCTGACAAGAAAGCGCAAAGTGAGTCAAGAGTTTCCAACTGCTGTTATGAAGATATGGGCCGACTTCAGAGCTGACTTCAGAGCCTGGTGTTCTTGTACAAACCTGGCATTAGAGCCCCATGAGTTACAACCGCATCTTTGATCCCACAGATGAAACCAGGAGCTGTGTTAGTTCCAAAGACAAGCTCCAATCCTATCTGGATGGGCCCAAACCGATCGCATTCATTTGTTGCTTCCTCTTGCTTCTTCACTCTGCACTCATAGTACTTGGCATTTTGCTGGTTTCCTGCTTTGTCGTAACATTCAGCATGGAGGTTGGCAAGCTTTTCGGTGATGCAAGACTGTGCTTTTTGCTGGACGTTGGTATAGGTCATGGTGGTGAAGCCATGCTTGTCATTCTGTTGCAATGGGAAAGGACAATTTTTCAGCCAATATCTGAGAATACTAAAGGACCACAGTTGACAATCATGTGGGAACTCATCCACATACATTTTTCAATTTTCCGTAGATATCCCGTCCATCACTAGTGCCTTCACTGAACTTGTAGCAAACTGGCATAAATCTGAGGACAAGTTATCGGAAGAAATTGCATGAGTGGATGATGTCATCAATGCTGCCTGAACATACAGTTGCTTCTTACGCAAGACCATTGTTGCCACAACTTGAGGTTCTGGTATTCCAATGGACATGATCAGCATTGTCGAGAAAGCAGCCACAAGGACTGAAGCAGACAGAAAAAGAACAGAGTTAGCTTGAGCTGTCCCAACCAGGTTTGAATTGAAGCCAACCAATAGCACTCACGCATGTGGATAATCACCCGATGTCACTACACCACTATCCAGCCTTCCATACAGAGCTTGGCCTGCAATGGCACAAAGAGATTTTGTGGGAATCTCTTCTCCAGCATCACATTTTGTTTTTACATGGTCCAATTTGTATTCGTTGCGATTTCCACGTGGCTTGCACACGGGGTTATACACCCAGGAATCAGGAGAGTGCCAGTTTTGGCAATTGGTAGTCCGGGTGCTAAAATGGATTTTTCCACTCTCCCTTGTAAGGAAACAGCCACAAGGTGTTTCGGGCCATTGTCCTTCATGAAGAGACCCCACACCACCGGCTTCTAGTGCTGCAGCATGACACTCATTCTTGGTGTACTGGTAACCTGGGTCACAGTCAACCCGATAAGGCATGGCAACAGCTGTGGTGCGATCTTTCTTGCGTTTACACACGTTATAGAAACGTCTGTGTTCATTTGCACAGCCTGTGGTCTTGCTTGAAAAAATGATCTTTCCAGCATCAACGGGACCACCTTCCAAAAAGCACCCACAAGGCACCCCATCCCCATTGTACTCATGGACAGCATAGCTGAATAAGGTACCACCAGCTTTTACAGCAGCCTTTGCACATTCATCTTTACTTGAGATGCCATATCCACTATCACATTGTGGCTGGAATGGGACAAGCTCATAGTCATCGCGTGTCTTATCATCCTCTTTACAGACAACTGGGAAGATGTAGTATATACCATTGTCAAGATTTTGACATCCAGTAGTTCTGGTAGACCAATGGACAAACCCGTTCGTGCCAATGAAGCAGCCACAGGGTGCGTGTGACCAGGTACCAGTGATAAGTGCTCCATTGTGTAAGGAAGCACCAAGGGATAATCCAGCTGCTGCACATTTATCCTGGGCAATGGCAGTATCAGTTGGACACTTGACAATGTCCCGAGTTGCCTCATACTTTTCAACTGTTGTTGAAAAATAATCCATTTCAATTGGGAATTGATAATTTTGGATTGGGCATGTGGCAGTGTCTACTCCACCACAACCTCCAAAGGGGAATTCTTGTGCATCAGCAGTTGCATTGGGGCGCTTGTAGAAGAGCTCTTCTGCACAACGCAATGGTTCCACGGCAATCTTCTCAGCAACCAAGTTGAGCGATTTGTCCACCTTGTTGATCCATTCAGTTTCTGCAGTTGAGCTGTATCCATTATCAAATTTGTAATTGATCAATGCTTTGGCAATCTCTCCATATTTCACAAATGTTTGAGAACCTTCAGCCAGACAGACCTGTGTAAGATTTGAATGGAACAGGAGTGAGGAGTACAGTAGAATGAATCAGTCGATTGGCTCATGCAATTTATCAGTGCTTACCTGGTTGACACTAAAGCAAAGAATTGGAAAATGAAAATGAATATGAGTGATGTTGGTCGTGAGAGCTCGATGGCACAGAGGAAGGAAAGGAACACTTGGCAGCTTATTACCTGGCACCTTCCCATTCGGGAACATCTCCCCACTCAATGGTACGATGGAATTCTCTCAGGAGAGTGTCACAAGTGGGATTGGATGCAGAGTTGGCTTTCACATTGTTGGCTTCTGCTTTGATTTTGGATGCTTTGTGTTCAATGTCAGCCTCAATAAACTTAATGATGTTGTCATCCACCTGTCCGGTTGCTCCGTCAATGTCATCACTGTAAAAGTAGACAAACATGTCATACACACTCATAGCAATGGCACAATCTGCAAGTAGGTTGCACTGCTCCCACTTGTCAAGCCTACGAGCACGATTCTCAGCCAACCTCCTGGCTTTGTCTGGGACTGAGGACATTTGAATTTCCGAGTGGCTTGTAGCAAAGTGAGAGAACGCCGCATGGATATCTCCATTGTAAATGGCTTCAGAGAATTCATCCAACTTTCTTGCATGATGAGAGTTAGCAAAACGGTGAAAACCTTCTCCTCCATGATGGAAATGTTCGCTGAAACGTTTCTTGAACTTGTTTCGTTGTTTGCGGTCCTCGTGGCGATGGTAGGAATCGCGACGGTCCTTGTTGTCCTTCTTGTAATCATTCTTGTCCTGATCTTCTTCCAAGCGACGTTGACGACGAGCGAGCTCTCCACGAAAGCCTGGACTACTCTCATCATCTTTGTCCTCGTCAGTGGAAAAAATGGACCACATGGCAGCAATAGCATCTTCAACAACTTTGACCGCCTTGTGTGTATAGTTCCTTCCAATCAAGGTAATATTCCTGAGACCTTCCAGTCTGGCAGGATCCTTCGTCCAGTCAATCCTATCAAACTGAGCATCCATAGTGATCATGGATCCCTTGAGGGAATCCATGATGTCCAACTTTTCTTTGGGAGTGAGAGAATCCATCTTAGTCATGAGTTGGTCGGTCGTGATGACAGCCATATCGTTCAGATGCGTCTCCAAGATATCGTCGCTGCCTTCAGCAAATACATGGTCTTGCTTGGAAACAATAAACGAGGGAACGTGATCCTTGTTGGAAGCTTCGGGGACAACCATGGCGTCGACACCTTCGTCATCCAGAACCTCAGCATCAACGGCAACGACGGCAGCATCAGAGAGGACAGCAAACAGCAATAGACACATGAATCCTGCTCCCGCAAAGAGCCTACGGAAGGCTCGGTCATCACCGCAGCCAGACGAGCTTTGGCAGATCTTCATGGCGACGAGAAGGGAAAGTAAAATCCGTACGAGGGTTTTCAATAGACTAGTTGTTGTGGTTCTTTTCCGCTGTTGGGAAATGGTTTTGTGAGTTTGTCGGTCAGATCTAACGACGAGCCAACACCCACAAGTTTTGTGAACGTTGTCAAAGGCAGTACTACAACTCGTGGGTTTCTACTCCCTGTGCAGCCAAGCAAAAGCGGAAATGAAGAGAGAAATAAATGTCCAGACGGGCCCAACGCCCAACACAACATCTCCGGAGCAATGACCGGCGAATTTCAATTGCCAGGCCCCCAGAGCGTTACTCAACTGTGCATGGCGCTTAAATCTGACCATTCTAAAGGGTCATGGGAGATACAGGATCCCTGTGATGATTCCCACCAGTACTCACGACCATTATTGCATCCCAATTTGACGAAGCGTCAAGGGAGATACATGTACACTATCCCCGTGATGATTCCCACCAGTACTCAGTACTCACGACCATTATGGCATCCCGATATGATGAAGCCAAGAATCTACAGTCGCATGGAAAAGATCCCCAAGATTACTAGTACAGTACAGGTACATGTGCTCGTACTCGGAGAGCACTCGGAGTCTCGGAGTCATTCTCCACAGCTACAAGGTTCTTTGAAACACAATTCTAAAAACAAAAGAAGTTCCTTCCTGGCAACGTCAGCGCTTGATTTAGAAGTAATAACTTCTGGGGAAACAATACGGTACGGGCGTCTGTACACTACTAGCTAGCTAGTACAGTGTACATGTATCAAGGAACTTGGAAGAGGCTGTTGAGCATTATCCTACCGTAGGGTGGCCACGACCTTACGGTATGCTTTGGATTTGAGCAGACTTTTTCGGTTTTCAAAGAACTTGAAGAGGCTTTTGGCCACGACCACATGCAGTCATTTTGGAACTTGGAATTTTGAGCAGACTGCACAGAACTTGGAAGCTTGGAAGAGACTATGCACCGCTACCAGCCAACCAGCAAGTTGCGACATTTTAATGATGTCATTTTTCTAAGCCTGCAGAACCGATTGGCTACCGTATGATTGGTCACATAACATTTTGATTGGCCATAACTTGGCCGCTGATTGGCCACTGATTGGCCAGTGATTGGCCTAAACGTTTAATAAAGAATACCTATTCGCCAGTTATTGACTACCGGTATAGAGTGTTCTTAATCTATCCATTATTGGCATTTGTACTTAATAGATTGGCCAGGCATTGGCCAGTACACCGTAATGTGACACTGTTTGAACATGGTAATTTCGTTGGGCCAGCCAGCCGTAACTTGCAGCACAGTACAATAGTACCACCACACAGCATGGCGGCTGGTGTTTTCTGCCGCTCTAGTAGGAAGAACCGTTGGGACCTTATGCAGTCATCAGTTTTTAGACTGGATCGAGTTTAGTGGCGTAGACCAAGCCAAGAACTGGTGTCCCCCATGCATGAAACCATATGGCAGATGGCGGCAATGTAGCAAATTGCTTCTGAGACACTTGGCGCGATGAGATGCACAAGTTTACCAAAGAAATCGCTTTGGACAACCGAGTTAATAGGTGCATTAGACGAGACTCCATCATGGTACGTAATCTGGACGCCTGGCCTCGGCTCATAATGACTGGCTGACTATGAAACAACGTTGGCTTGGTGGGAAGAAAATTCAGCAACGGTAGTGGCTACGATAGCAAGTTATACACGAACACATACATCTGAACACTAATTTCCGTTAATCTTATTGACTTTTTTTAAAAGAATTAAAAGAATTAGATTGACAAATGCTGTAGTAGTAGACTAGAGGTAGTTATGGTTTAACAAGCTCTGTGTAGGGCATATGTGCCCTACGTGGGTACACGTAGGGCATATGTGCCCTACGTAACCGATTGGCGTTAATAATAGTTTCCGAGAATAAGAAATAGATTATTTTGTAATAATAAATCAAATACTAATTGATTTTACATTTTACTAACATTTATTGGCAATACCAAAAATCCGTATTTGCTTTTAGACTCCTGCGCCTTGCTGCAGGTCAGACATCATTGCGGCAATGCGGGGCATAGAGTAAAGCCAACATCCTTTTCGTCAATGTTGTCGTCGTTGGCAATTTGGTGTAGTAGCACTAGTGTATCAGATTGAGAATCCGTCAAAGACGCAGATAAGTTTCCTCCCTCTGTGTGCATTTGTTGCAATCTGCCAACAACGGCTTGGTACCATCCCAGCCATACTGTCAGATGTATTATTGGTGGTGCCAAGAAATCTTGATTGTTTGATGCGACCATACAGACCTTTGTAGATTTGCTGATTCTTTCCAAGCTCTGTGCTAGTAGTACCAGTAGCCTTGTCATAGCAGCTGTCGATTCAGCAATAGCTAGCACTGGCTACGGTAGCCAAGTTACACACGAACATGCATGCAGATTCGGTTGGGAGCTCCGCATTCGCTCTCAGCTGTGAATACGAGAATGCATTTCCTAACTGCCGTATTGATGTGAAATGCATTTCAAAACTAATATATCAATGTTATAAGTGGTTGTCGATCTCTGCAGCCAGCCTGCGTTCGTATCGCCCTCAAACTATCCATGTGACGGAGTGGATCTCTTTAGTTGCAGCCCTCCCTATGAGGGTTCTTGAAGTCTCGTTGGTGAAGCCATGCGTTGGCGCCATACTTGACTCCCTTGGTGACGGGCAATGCAGCGTGCTCGGTTCTGGGATCTTTCAGGTTGGGGTCGTGATCGTACACGGAAGGCCACAGAGCAGCGCGTCCACGCTTTGGCGTCACCGTGAGGTTTAGCGCTGGGAACTCCGTACCTCCTCCTTCCTCGACATCGTTCAGGTAGAAGTAGAGTGTGAAAATGCGGACTCCGCATTGTCTTTCCTTTTGATACTCTGAAGATGACGTTCCACGGAATATAGTCGGTGAGCAATGGGACAAAAGATGTCAGGTGCAAACACATCTGATATATGACTTACCGATCAGATCGTGGTGGCGATTGTAGTGCTGGTTCTGTTCGTAGCGCAAGAGCTGTAGCCACTCGCTATTTGGTTCAGGAACGCCCGTGATGTCCTGGTAAGCAGAAGAAGGAGTTCGCGTGAGCTTTGATCTCCGGCAGGCAATCATTGGCAAGGACGACAGCAAGCTGCGATACTCACCTCCACACGCTGCATCAAGCGCTTTGCAATGGGATCTTCATAGCAGTCATTCTGGCACCACGCATTTGTGCTTGTGCGGCCAGCGTAAATCTGAGAAGAGGGTCGTGACGAATCTCTGTCAGGGATGTGCTAAACATGGCGCAAACTCTAAGACAGTCTCAAGTTACATACCTTCTTGTCATACTGGTAGGGAAGACAGAGTGCATGGGGGTTGGACAAAGGTGAGTTATCCATTGGTTGCAACGATTCTTTCAGAAAGCAAGGAACTTACTGTGCCATCTTCCAGTTTTCGACCGACATCGGCACTTCTTTGATACCCCTCGTTGCCACCAAGCTCAATCATTCGATCGGCTTCTTCATCAGTCAAGGCATTCTCGAACACTACCATCCAGGGCCCAAGAATATAGTTGGCTGTTTCCGCGGTGTCTCCTTCTGCATATTCCGGACGAGATACAATCGTTGGCTGGTACTGTTGAATAGATGGATCTGTCAAGATGCGGTTGAACATCTTTGTAATGTCTCCTGGATACAACGCATCAACAGCATTGGGATCCAATGGACAACGTGTTTCAATAGACAGAAAGTCACAGGTTTGGCAAATTGGCGCACAATTGAGCTTCATATAATTTGGACTTGGGTAAAGTAGTAAATACATAATGGAGAAGCAGAAAACAGTGTAAGATAGGAGCCACCATGATTGCCGGTCGCTGTGACGATGTCAAGTCCTGAGAGGAGAAAAGAAAACCGAAGCAGGGTACTCACTTCTTTTCACACTCCCCAAGCATGGCCCAGAAGGCGCAAGACTCGTGTTTGTTCTTGCAGATATCTCTAACAGCGTCATACTCGGGCTCGATATTGACTTCATTGACCATGTAGTATCGCGCTTCCGCAATTTTTTCATAGATTTCTTGTTCTCGGTTGACATCAATGGTTTGAGCCACGCCCATCTCGCCTCCCACGGAATCCAGCTTACGAGCAGGTGTTGGGGCTTGATAGAGAACTCGAGCACTGCTTGTGGCGTTTGTCGGCTCGCCGTAGTCGTCGTCATTGGCCGTCGTTGTGCCGATTTCTGCATCCAAAGACGCCTGCTTTCCAACATTGCAGCTCGAGTCGGCAACTCCTCCTGCTTTCGCATATGCGATGAGGCTGCCGACTATCAGTAGTTTCGCCTGAAAGATTATCTTCATGGTTGCTTTTGCTTGTTTCTTGGTTGATAATTGTGACCGTATCTTCACGCTGCGGCGTCTGGGTTGTTGCTCGCCTGGGTGAAGTGAGAACCAACCAAGCAACCGAAAGCGCCCAATATTGCCAAACGCACTCACCTCTCTGCTCAAGAATGGCGTGATGCTCTTTTTCTCCGGTTCGGTCTTACCCCCCCAGCTCTTCCAGCACTTTGTGATGGCTGTACTGGTCCCTTCAGCGTTCCACATGCTCTGGATTGCAAACGCGGCGGCTTAATCATCCGTCGCCATAATGAAATCCGCAATGAACTTGGTTCTATTGCATGTGATCTTTGGTTCCTCTAGCGTCCAGTCAGACCACCCCTTCCCTCTGTTCCCCCCCCTACTATCCCTGCCGGTCACCCAATTTCTACCTTACCTCCCCTTCCTCCCCCCTTCTCAATCCCCTCCAGCCCCCGAGCTCTTACGTGGTGATCTTTCTATTCGCGGCTTGTTTAAACGAGGTACTACAGCTATAATTGACGTACGTGTCACTGATTGGACTGTGCCTCTTACCGCAAAAAAGATCCCGTCAAAGTTTTACCCAACAAGAACGCGACAAATTTCCAAATATAAAGACGCGTCGAGTCCAATCGCGCTTCCTTCCACCCTTTTGTTGTTTCAGTGGATGGCATGCTTGCCCCTCAAGCCAAGACTCTCTTACAACGCCTTGCTTCTGCTACTGCCTCCAAAACTCAATTTTCCTACTCTCAAATGATGTTCTTCATGCAGACCCGTATCTCAATTGCCCTTGTGAAAGCTACCCATTTATGTCTCCGTGGATCCCGCAAAGCCAAACCCTTTGCCCCCGTAATGGTCCTCAATTTCTTGCCCCTGATCCCTCCGAACCTAGTCCTGAATTTCGATGTTCTTTGCTTAAGCCTGGCCCCGGCTGGCTTCCGTAGCTAATTCCCTCTCTAAAAACCCCTTATATAACCGAAAGCCAGTTCGGTTTTCAGCCCGGTTGCCTTCTCAATTCTCCAGGAGGTTCGCATCGCAACCTCAAAAATTTCCACGCGAACTGCTCTCTCAAGACCAGACCACAGATAGCTCCACAGATGATGACTTCCATCCACTTGGGCTAACGGATGACCCTTCAGCCAGATGCCATGGTCAGATGGTTGCCTATCAACCTTCTACAACCAGCTACGCAGCCATGGGTAAACAGATTGGAGTTCGTGTATGGTGGGTATCCATATCTTTGTAGCCAATGATAACTTTCTTCCTCAGTTGATGGGAAGGGTGGGAAACAGGAGACTTTGGTTGATCCGCCGCTTTCTTGCAATATGTGTTGCTTCTGATCTGCTCAGGCTGATCTGTAATCATCTGGGCTAGTATGACTGCATTGCCACCGTGGACGCCTCAGAACGGCGTCAAAAGGAGCCAAGAAGCTCCGGATCGTATGATACAATGATACAGTGCTATTGCTTGTTCTAGTTTCCTGGAAATCTAAGGATAATTGCGACAAAAAATGTCGAGCATCCCTCAAAACTAATAAATCCATTAGAGCTTCATCTATTTGGTTGTATTGCTGTGTCGAGTGGTTATTAGGTCCTGGTCCAGAGCCGACCACTACTCCGTCTTGGACTTAGCTTGCTCCAATTCTTTCATTTTTTGGTCCCTATCAATGACTGGCTTCCACCCCAACACTTTCTCTGCTTTTGTTGTATTCAAGGTGAGTGATCTTCCCATAATGTAGAGTGCCATGGGCGTCAAGGGAGGCATGAATCGTTTGGGTTGTCCAATGAGATTCCACAGATACACCAACAACCATGCCACCGGCCTGGCCAACCAGTAGGGGGCACTTCTAGACGGCAATGTGGCATTGTAAGTAGCACGAATATAGGCTATAATGAATTCCTTTTGCGTGGTTGGTTCTTCCTTGTCGGCAATAAAGAATGCCTCTCCACCAATTTCGTTGGTTGCCGTATGTGTCAGGACAAGACGGATAGCATGAACCAAATTGTCAATATGACAAGGACTGTTCTCGGCTTGTCCATTGTCAATCCACCAGTATCCCCCATCCCGTAGCACTCGCATCACGGTGGGTGCCAGAGTGGAATCTTCGGGGCCCCAAATCATGCGAGGACGTAAACTGACGGTACAAAATAGCTTGTCCTCGTTTGCTGCGGCCACCAACATCTCGGCTTGGGCCTTGGTGGCCGAATAGGGAAAGGGACTGTTGGGTTGGAGTGGTGTTGTTTCATCAATTCCACAAAGATCCTGCTGACTGTGATCGTCAAAGTGTACAGCTTCAGTGCCGATATGAATGAACCGTCGGACCGTGCCACTCTTCTTGGCCACGTCCAACAATTGCTGGGTGCCCACCACATTGGCTTGATGGTACTCGTCGTAGGGACCCCAATCTTCGGCCAAAGCTGCTGAATGGACAATGGCTTCCACGTGGTTCAAGTCGGATGCGCTCACATCTCCCAAACTACAGGAAACGGGCGTCGCTCCAAAGGAGGCGACTTTGGAAGCACTCTCTTGCGATCGAGCCATGGCAACCACTTCGTGGCCGTCCTGGACCAATGCCCGAATGGTGTGACGACCAACAAAGCCAGATCCTCCTGTAACAAAAATGCGCATACTTGATTGAGCTCAGTCAGTTGGGATGTAGTGTACCGAACAGTGCTGCAGTTCAGTTCCGTCTTCTTGATTTGTTGTGAGTTTGTGAGGGGCTTCGCTCCTAGCTACTAGCTAGAGCAAGAATAAGGTCTCGCGTGCAGCGTCTTGAGGTCTCGCGTGATCTCGCCTCGCAACTCGCACCGTTCAAAAAGCCAGCTCATCTGTAACTTAAAAAGCCAGAACTTCATTCCGAGGGGGCAACTCTTTCGAAGGCAGCAAAAGGAGAGGAGGATAACAGGCTTTCTACCCATTGGTAACTTAGAATATTGTTTGACAACAACGATGGCCCGCAAACGCAATCAACTCATGAACATGTTCCCTCCTGGGAAGGTTACCGCAGAACAAGCGTCAGAAGCCCTTCGAAAAAGCCGTGGAGATTTGGAAAAGGCCAAGGCAATGATCCAAGCCGGAAAAGACGCGAAAGATACCAAGCCATCGGCAAGAACAACCTCATCCGCCGCCAAGAAACCAGCAGCTGCTGCTGTTTCATCGTCATCCAAGGAAAACAAATTGCCATCAAAGCCTGCTGCCACTACCAAGGAATACAGCAACAACGCCATGGAAAATGACAAGAAGAATACTGATGAAAATGTTGTTAATAGTCGACGTCCTCCCAAGACGGTGGTGGCCATTAACAACTTGTCGGATCGTCAGTATTGCTGCGTTTGGTGGGTGGAGGAAATCAAGGATGGATATCGTCCCGATATTTCCCGCAGTTTACTGGCCGAAGTGGCACGGCACGCCAATTTGATTTTGCGAGATCGAGGATGGCGCGTCAAGCGCCTCATCGAAAGTACCAGCACGCGCTTTTTGGGCGTCTGCTATTCCAATGGACGCAACGATGCGGACGCGGCATCGGCCAATATCATGCTCAATCTACGTCAACGCCCCGACAAGAATTGTCGACAATTTCGGACCTTTGCGCAAATCATGGCCGTCATGATCCATGAAGTCACGCACATCAGCATTGGACTCGAGGATATTCATCCACCCGCCTTTTGGGAATTGATGCAAGAATGCAAAAAAGAATATCAACAAAAATTGGCCGCGGAAGAATTGGAACAGGAAACCGATGATTATGGCTGCAAAGACAAGTACATTACGGGGACGGGAGAGGTCTCCACCCTGCAACAATCCGCGGGCACTGTTGTTTCCGCGGAAGGAATGACACTGGGAGAAGACCACTGGTGTGGTGCCAAGAGAGCAAGACCATCGTATTCACGCCGTGGAACCAAACGATCGTCGGTCCAGGCCGTGGGCATCAAGGCGGCCGAGCTACAGCAAAAGCGTCGTCCACTCAAAAAGGGAACCAAAATGATTGACAAACGAACCAAAGATGGCAAGGCCAAGGCGGCGGCTCTCAAGAGGCTGACTCCCCGAGAGTTGGCTGCCCGAGCTGCTCTGGAACGATGGCAAGGCAATGCCTCTGGTACCAATGACAAAGACAACAATAAAGTGAGCAATCAAGAGGAAGAGACGACGACGACGATCTTTGTGGAAGTGATTGAAGATCATCCCAGCGTCTGTGGTTGTCGCTGTTGTGAGTGGGATAAGTTGCTTTGCCAACCAGCCAACTGAACTGTAATGGGGGTGTTCAAGTTAGTTGATTTACAGCAGACATAGATGGCAATGGCGAGCGAGCTTCGGGCAGTTACGGTATCCAAGCAGAATGAGGGAGAGTCGAGACCGTTACACTGGAACAGGTTTCTTGTGTGCTTAACTAGTATTGCACGACTAAAAGTTGTCTACTGTACCTTGCTTATTAGCTTATTCAGTTCTCCGTCTGACCCAGGCGTCGCCTCCACAAGTCTCTGCGCACTCCGTTGCTCTACCTCTGAGTGCCGTTATTCGCTACATGAAGTCTATCATTACCTAGGCAGGTAAACTGCCTGAGTTCTCAACCCCTTTAATTTGGTCTCCCAGACCAACGCTCCTTTTGGTTTCCCCCTCAGTTGCACTCCCAAATCGATTGCTGGCGTTTACTGTGTAAATTAGAGTACCGCACTTCAGTTGCAGAATCAACGGTCATGTGTATCGTTAAGTAACAAGTTCCCTTTCGAAAGATTTAGATTGATTCGTGGATAAAAGAACCGTTGAAGTTACTAAGTTAAGGATAAACTGATTGAGTACGACAGTCGTACTGTAGTAGGTTCAATTGAAGGCACAGCACTGACATCTCTCCCTCATTGTATTCCTATGGTAAACAGGAAAGAAATCCAAGCTTGGCTGACAATGATGGTGAGTGAGTGCTTTATCCAATCGGCCGATCATCAACGATTCGATTCGAGGTAAGCCTAATATCAATTATAAAGAGTGTTATTGAAGGTGCAGCGCTGACTTCTCTCCCTCATTGGATTCCTATGGTAAACAGGAGAGAAATCTGAGCTCGCCGTCAACAGGTGAGTTGTTTTAATTATTCGATTGATCGATCGATCCACCTCTACCGGTGTTATCCAAGCCTCACTCAAGCCGGCTTCTCCGGTGTAGATTCAAAGCCATCCCCATTGAAATTGTTGACCATTTTGGATGGTTTTCTTTTCTTTCTCGGCCCATGACGCCAAGTTGGGGAGTTTGAAAACAACAAGGGTAAAGTCGCGGTTTCTGCTGTATCAGAAGAGAAGAGAATACCATATCTATTTCTTTTTCTTTCTCTTTCTCTTACTGCTGATTACCCAGGAAACCATTGTCGAGTCTTTTGGATTCACCGCTCCGGATAAAAGAAATAGAGGCTACCGCTACGGAGGAGGAGGCTCTGTTAATCCAAGCCCTACCAACAGCCGGAACAGAGGACCCTATCATCGTGGAGTCATTGAAAGGCACAGCCACCGGAGAGAGGCAACAACACACATAGAGAGTGGATCCTCCTACCGGATTCATCCCTTCTTGTTATTTCTACAGTTTTGGTGGTGATTCCTGTTGTCGTACCCATTTTCCTGTAGCGCAAGTCATAGTACTGTTGCCACTAGCTTTAGCTATACGGCATACAGCAGCTGGCTACAATGGCTGGATTGACAATATTCGGTTGTGCGTGTTTTTCGGTCATAAAACATGGCCCAATGCGAGGTAACCGAGTGCAGCGAGCAAAGTACCGAACCATGAGTAGTGTTCGGTACTGTTTGCCACTGCACGATCGTGAACTCTACGAGCTGGCTAGATGCTGGTATGCATAATGTTCGGTTGTGCCATGTGATCGTCATAGATCGCACGATGCAAGGTAGCCAGTAACGAGATGTGTAAGGCCAGGTAAAGACCGAGGAAACCTGATTGAGTGTGTCTACCAAGCCGATCCGACAGATTTGCCTAGGCGTTGCCACTGTCACCTGTGATGTAACTCAGTTAACGGTAATGGCTACAAATGGCTGGATTGACAATATTCGGTTGTGCATGTATTTCGTCATAAAGATCCAATGCGAGGTACGGTAACCGTGCGAGCAAAGCCAGAACATTCGGTACTGTTCCGCACTGTAGCTATAATACGCAGCGTGCTACAATGGGTTGGACTTCATAATGTTCGTCTCCGCTGTGTTTTATTAGGACTTCGTCATAATCAGTGATCCAACATGGCAAAGATACCGGCAGACGAGTGCAACGAGCAAAGTTCTATACGTCTGAGTGTGTTCGGTTACTGTTGCCCACTGTCACCCAGAAGCCGGATCGAGTGAAACTCTAGATAGCTGGCTCGATGGCTGGACATGAAATGTTCGGTTGTGCATGTATTCGTCATAAGGATCGCAATGCAAGGTACCAGTAACGGAGTGTAGCCAGTAAAACGGAACCCTGGAGTGTGTTCGGTACTGTTGCCACTGCTCACCTGATTGTTGTAACCTACGGTAACTGGCTATAATGGCTGGATTAACAATATTACGGTTTTGTGCATGTTATTCGTCATAGAGGATCCAATGCGAGGTACACCGACTGCAGCGAGCACAAGTTTGAACCTGAGTGGTGTTCGGTACTGTTGCCTGTAGTCTGATCGATGAACTACTGTAACTGGCTACGAATGGCTGGATTCAATAATGTTCGGTTGGTGCATGTAGTTATTCGTCATAAGGATCCAAGTGCAAGATTCCGGCAACGGAGTGTAACCAGCAAAGTGGAACCTGAGTGTGTTCGGTACTGTTGACACTGTCGCCTTATGTATCCTGTACGGTAGCCTGGCTACAATGGCTCGATTAAATGTTCGGTTTGCGTGTATTCGCATATAAGGATCCAAAGCGAGGGTACCGACTGCAAGCGAGCAAAGTTTGAACCTGAGTGTGTTCGGTACTGTTGCACTGTCACTGATCGATGAACTCTACCGTAACTGTGTACGATGGCTGGATTGACAATGTTCGGATTGTGCATGTATTCGTCATAAGGATTCAATGCAAGCTACGGTCAACGGAGTGTAGCAGTAAAGCGGAACTGAGTGTGTGGTGTATGTTGCACAACTCACGGATCGGATGTAACTCTCCATGCCTAAATCGGTACCTAGTGAGCCTGGCACTTACAATGGCCTTGGATTGCAATGTAATTTTGCGTCATATGATCCAAGTACAGTAGCTAGGGAGCAAACTGAGGAAAAGGAGACCAACGCTGAAAAAAAGCCGAATGCTATATTCTTTTCCTATTTATTTTCTATTCTATTTCCTATTCTGGTGAAGCAAAAGTATAAGGATAGAGATAGTCATAAGCCAACAAAACTGAACATTGATGGTTCAATACAAGTTTAGGGGTAGGAATAAATCATTAATATTTAAGGTTAGTGCAATCAGCACAACAGCACAATAAGCAAGCAGGAGTGTAAAGTTAGGGTTACAATAAGGGAATGGAAGCTGGTAAATTATAGAGTAGCGGGCGGCAACACAACGACGTAGTCGGGTGTTGTCGCCAGGGCTAGCTTAATAAAGAAGGTTGCAATGAGGGAATGATGATACCGGGCGGCAACACAGACGATAGTCGGGTGTGTCGCCAGGCTGGCTTCAAAGATGGGTGCAATCTCGAACATGATCCTCCTTCTTCTATCTGTCTTTCTGCCGAGGTATCGCAGCTCCCGCTGACTTAATTCGCTGTACTAGCTAGCTAGCAAACGAGCTCATGGCAATGAAAGCTGGTTGTGTCGCAGTCGTACGGAAGTCCCTCAAGAGGGGGGAACTCAGATTTCAGATTGCGCATTCTGTCTTCTGCTGGTGAGCTACTTGAGCTCATTGATGCTCAACAGCCGAACCGAGCCACGGGATTTCGTGGAGACTGCAGGGATGGCACCCTCTTTTAACCAAGCGTCTCGTGCTAGAACTGCCACAATGAATGGACGTCCACCATCGACTGATCCGACCAACGAAACTGTAGATACCTGTTCAAGTCCAGTTATAATCAACGTGAAAGTGACTTTGGACCCGTATCAAATTTGGGGCAATGCGTCTGGCTATTCAAAACACTTCCCTTTCCACTGTATGCAACTCCTGCACCGGGACCAACAAGACAATCAAAACAAGCACAGTCAAGTCCTGCCTTCACAATTCCAAGCCAAACATTTTCAGCATCATTCAAAATTTCAACTGTCCATCGAACTGTCTTGTCTTTGATTGGAGGAAACTTCAGCAAGTCTGTCTTGAATTCCTCGCAGGTTGAAGTTATGCTTCCTGAACTGGTCCAGACAGCCCGTGATGGCGTGAATGGTCTTGCAAACATTCCATGTTTTTCCTTTGCAGCTCGTGCTTGGATTTGGAACGCCTGCATTAGTTGCTGCGTTTTGCAGAAACCAGATGGTAGCACAGATGAAGTCAGAAAGTCAGGGTCGAGCTTCTCCAAGCAAATATGATTGTGTACCAGCTCCTTGGCAATTGTCTTTCGTTCCTCGTCTTCTCCGACCCAATGCTGCAAGATTTCAAAGAGCAGGTGTTGTTTTCGTGGTGTTTCGCTGTCGTCTTGGAGAAAAAATTCGAGTGCAGTTTCGCTGATGTTGGCCACCAACGTGCTGTCTTCTTTGCTAATTCCCTCACGGGTTCGGATGATGGTGAGGGCCTTTCTTTTGGCTGCCGTCAGGAGAGCGGAATTGTCTGCTGCACCTGCTTCGACGACTATTAGAGCTAGTGAGGGCATCTTGTCGAGTAAGTGAACGATAGAATTGCACGCTTTCTTGTGGAGCTTCGGGAGGTTATAAAAATGAGCTGCTGCTGTCAAGGACACCAAAGCGCTCATTTTCTCTTGCAATTCCTCACTCGTCTTCTCACCATGCTTGTGCATATAGCCACTTTTGGGAGCTAGAAGGTCAGAGGAATCAGTGTGGATGAACTCAACAAGCGCATCCACTACATGTCCACTGTAGTGCACCGTGACTCGCTCACTCGAAGACACTTTTGCTAAAATCGTTTGACTCTTTTTAAAATGGCCAAAGAGCATTTTTGAAAAGACTTCGCTTCGAAGGGAGAGCGCACAGCGGTTGGCCCCAACGACGGCTCCATCGCTACAGGAAAGCTTGACATCGTGATACTTTTCATCCTTCCAGAAGTGACGAAGTGTGTCTTCCAGAGGAGTCTCCTCATTCATGCCGTCGTTGCTGCTCATTTTGGTCGGTGAAGTTTTGACGTTGTGATGGCAATGCGACCGTTCGTGCAATAATAATGCAGCTGACCCCCGACAGTTCCACTACCCCCCATCAATTCTTCACCTTTTCTCACAACTACTACCACGAAGACAGAGGACCGATTAGTCATGTTTACTATAGAAAATACAGTACTATACTACCTCTGTAGCGTGCGGTACAAATCCTACACGACTAACGCACGGCTACAGCACGGTACATACGTAGCGTGCAGTAGGCTGTGCCGTAGAAGTGCGCACATCGCGCGACTGACGTCAGTCGCGAGCACCGCGCGCGAACAACTGACGCGCGAATGACGAATCGCAGCACACCTCTTGTTAAGATAACGCAATATGCTTGCCACCTTGCTTTTAAGATAATTCGAAAGGGTACGTACCGTACCTACATGTACTTGTACATAATCCCCTCTGGAGTGCATTTGACTGGTGACTTTTACGGGTACCACAACTCAAAACATGTGCAACTAGATGCTCTTGCCCAGACTAGCTTAACCCTCCTCCTTCTCCCCTCTGGAGCCCCTTCAACTAATCACTTTTACGGGTACCACAACTCAAAACATGTGCAACTAGATGCTCTTGCCCAGACTAGCTTAACCCTCCTCCTTCTCCCCTCTGGAGCCCCTTCAACTAATCACTTTTACGGGTACCTTACCAGGTAGACGAAATACCGGTAGGCAAGGGGGGTACCTGTAGTCATGCCCCCCTTCAGGGGCTTCGAGACGTCGAGACTGAGTCCTGTCACGGATTGCGGTGAGATGGATCCAGATATCTTTTCGATTTGTTTTTTGTTTTGGCCCTCAACTGCCCTGGCCATTTGCTAGCTAGGGCCAGATTGCGAGGCAGGAACGATCCCATTGCTCGGTATTAGTGTAATAAGAGCAAGAGAAGTAAGACAGGCCAAGATGCTGAAAACAGCGGAGAACTCACTGTTGCTGGGGGTATTTGTGTTGGCATGTTTCTATGATAATGGAATCTTTGCATTCTACCCGTCACTTTCGACAATCAGCCCTGGATACTCGCCTCCACTGCATCAATCACGCTCGACGTGCCACGCTGCTACCGGAAGTGACGAGACATATGCATCATCAGATCCCAGTACTACCAGATCTCAGTTTCTTCAGTCCACAATTGCCTTGCTGCTGGCATCGAGCCCTGCCCATGCTTTTGATGGAGGGGTTGGCGGATTGGGGAAAACCAAACCAGAGACGGGTGTGGTACTCTTCTCGGATCTTTCGGCACCGGTGCAGAATGCGGCTGGTATTGTTTCGGCCGAATTGAACATTCAAAATCAACCCGTTCTGGTGACCTTTCAAACACCCTGGCCATTATTGCCCACCACAGGAGGCTTGGAAGCCAGAGATTTGCAACAAGCAGAGTCCGCCTTTGTACAAGTCGTCACGGAAAATGTTCCCAAAGAGAATCCTCTCACAAAACAGTCCATGAAGAAACTTCTCATGACGTCCGTCTTTAATCAACAGGGAAAGGTGAGTTCTCTGATAGCCTCGTAGATGCATCGTCGGTCCTTCACGGCTGTGATTTTGGCAAAGAATAGCATGCTTCTGGTGATCGCCAATGGAATTCCGACTAATGGCAATGGATCTCTCGGATTTACACGCCACAATTTATTCAGTTCTCGGCGTATGGCCAGCCAATCGACATCAAAGTCAAAGGAACGGATGACGCTGCTGTCTTTGCTGTCTCTTTCACGACCTTCACTCCTGGAATGAGGGAGAGCGAGAGGCAAACTCTCATCAAGTATTCCTCCGTGGGAAGCGCAATTGTCCTCCTCATCACAGGGACCACGTCGATACGGTATAGAAAACAGGAACCAGTGTTTCAGGCAGTTGCCAAGTCCTTCACTGCTGTGGCAGCTCCGTCTTCAAAAATGCGATAGCTACAACAATAATACTTCTACCGGTACCGAAGAGGAAGTTTGGCGTCAGAGGATAGGATCCCCTGTACCGGTATATGTACCGGTATCAAACCATCTACAATCAACGTACGTGTACATTACATGTACCGGTACCGTACCAGCAGGTGTGTCTGCTGCTAAGAGGGAGGAGTGGAAGTGTTGTGATTGCAGCTACCGGCACTACCAAAAGGTACCGGTACCTTTTGCAATCCAGCAGTGAGAGATACCAGTCACTAACGCTAAAATCGTATGGTTTACGTGTTGTGCTAGTTAAGTTACTGCAAGAAATATCCACGTTGACTGAGTCAATGATACAGGCAAGATCCAGCTGCCTTTAGACTGGTTTGAAGGAACGAACGCGGACACAAGAGGATCCGCACATCGCTTGGAATCTTCAATCACTCATGCACAGATGATACCAAAGTAGCATTTCAACCCCGAGCAACACGGGGTGTGATGGCAGCGATGCCAGTATGCCGCCGCACATTTCTCCTCCGCGGGCTCGAAAATCTGCTTTGGACTTGGTTCCTGGCTTGGTTCAGGGCTCGGAAACAAAGTTGGGAGCGAACTTGGAGACTCCGTTGGGCTTTCGGTGACGGTGACGGGACTGGCAGTTAGTTCGCTCGGAGATGAGCTTGGGAACAAACTTGGGCTGATGCTCGGCGATCCGCTTGGACTGGAGCTGGGGACAGCACCTGAAGTGCTGGGGGAATCAATGACGGTTTCCAAGCACGTTTTGGTTGAAATGTGCGAGAGGATCGCGTTCGCCGACGTGCCGTCAAATGTCAAGCAACTGTTGCAAATTGTTGGAAACATAATGGATGATGACGATGAAGAATGGCCAGCTCCAACATTGTGTCCAATCTCATGGGCAATGAGCGTTGACCACTTGGATTGGACCGTCGTATAAGTCACTTGATTCACGCCGTATGCATAAGATCCACAGATAGCCTGGTTCCATGCACATCCAACAGTGTTTTCGGGGAAGTTGACTCCATGAAACAGGTGCACTGTGTCGGCAGAGATAGTTTGATGCTTCCCGGTTGATCGCCAATATGTGCGGAATCGAAAGAGCAGCGTGTCGAAGTCGTTGCCGCAAACTTGAGAAGCTCCATTGATCACCTCAACGAATGGATCAGTGTCTTCATTGCTTGATGTTTCACAAAACAGGGAGTGAGGTGACGATTGAGGTCTCCCGAGCCGTCGCAAAGGCGAGGACTTACCAGTAGCCGTCCACATGGGAAACCATCACTCTCATACAAATCTGTTCGAATTTCATGCTTGCTTGTGAAACGATCGACTGGACGGCTGCGTTGGCGTCCACAGCAGAACCGTGGAATTGACAAAAGGTATGATCGTAAGCAACGGCGAGCTCGATAACTTGGTAGGACTCGCAAGTCGACATCAACGCACGACGATCAGTCTTGTTCGTTGTCTGCAAAGATCGCTGTTCGCCGGGAGGAAAGAGGTCTCCATCACCATATTTGAACTGGTTCATCTTCAATTGGTCGATATCGTTCTCGTGAACCGTAATGAATACTTCGGAGCCAGCTTCGATGGGAACGACCGAAATCGTTTCTCCAGTGACAGGGTCGATTTTCGTGGCACTTTGAAGACGTCCTTTGCTTCCCTTGACAATGATAACCGTAGGATCTTCGAGGCTCTTGTAGACTGAATGGAATGGAAGAGAGTACTGCTTGTGACCATTCAGAAAGAACTCGGCTCCTTCCGTGAAGATTCCGTTGACAACGGCCAGGTCCTTTCGAGCAATAGAGATCGTTTCCGAGTCCACCTGAAGCGTGCTGCCGGTGCATTCTTGGAGGACAATGGCAAAGTCGTCTTCTAAATTGTTGTTCTCCTTAACTTTCTGCAAGAAAGGGATGTCAATCCGCAAGTCGCGGCTTCCACGAAGGTTGCCAGACTCATCGACGGAGGCGTTAACGGCGGCTTCGTTTGAGACAGGAAGCAAGAGCGCTGCGACGGCAACGAACAAACTTCCAATATGTTTCACTGATCCGCGCAACATGTTTAATCAATTGACAGGAGATGCTTGAGAAAGAAAAAGGATGGATGAGTGTCGAATGATGAACGAAGGAAGCGTCTGAGAAGAAGCTATTGTAACAACTGACTTGAAGTGATTGTGGCTTTCGACCAAAAAATGACGAAAAGAAACGGTTTGGCTTTGAGACACTGAGTCGTGTGTTATGTCTGGCCTTCGACCTGAAAAATCGATCAACCTTAAATGCTCACCGAAGGTTATTTCACTGTTTGCTGTCCTCAAACCCCAAAACCCAAAGCAACAGCGATGCCAAAGCCAAGGCGACAACCGTCCAAAGTCTCCATCGGTGATATCGAAACCTTTTGAACAACCAGGTCAACAGTCAAGATGGTGTTCTATGAATGCGTAATAACGGCAAAGGATAAAGTTTGTAAGTTGTTGATTTCGCCTTCAGTTTTGCTTCCTATCTGCCCGCAAGATTTCTCACTGTTTGGTTGGTCTCGGTTGGTTTAGTGTTTGACAGTTTGAGCAACATTGCCAAACGATTCTCCTTGGAGATTGTCAAAGAAGGAGGCGTTGTCCGGTCTATTCGAAATCATGGGATTCGTGATTTGCCCGAACGTTTCAAGGCCAGGAATACCGATGCCTTTGGTCAAAGATATTGGCGTCAGGGACGATTCTTTTCCGTCTATTATGACAGCAATCCTTTTGCCATGCAACAAGCAGAAAATATTCTTAGAATGGAACCCGATGTACTCCGATTCACCAATCTCAAGGCACGATCTCCACTCGACTATATGAACACTACGAGACAGGATCGTAACCCCTACATTCAGCAACTCCTCAAGAAGGAGAAGGCAGAGAGAAAACGAGCCATGGAAGAAGCCCGAGCCAACAAAGCAGCAGAGAAAAAGTGATAGTTGAAAATGTAAATTGGGATGGATCCTATTCCACTATATAGCCTAGCTTCTCATGTTGGTAGGCTGTGTAGCAAATAAGGATCGGATGATTTGGAACACTTTTGCTGAATGCCTTGCTTGGAACCGTGTAGTCCACCTGTATCGACACGGGAGGTACAGAGCTCCATTTTGAGGAGAGCGTGAACTTTAGTTTGTTCGAAATAGTCCTTTGACCTCGAGTCTTCCAACTGTTACCCTAAAGGCACCCAAGCTCATCAAAGACAGTTTACTTCATGGGGCTTTTTCTGTAAGACCAGCTAGTGGTGTGAGAATAGAGTCCAGCCCTAGATGTACAATAATAACCACGAGACCAAACTTTCTATTGTGCCTTTCTAGCTTGTTGTTGTCTAAAACTGGTACCGGTAAGGGCTTTCGTTGCATACAGAGAAGCTAAAGCACTACCGATACCAGTACTGGCTGCATGTAAAACAGTGCATGTGGCGCTGAACAGTAGCGTGGAACTCGTAGCGTAGCGACTGTACCCTGAACCCTTACCGGTATTGAGGCCATCAACCATCAACCAAGTGCCAATGACCCGCCCAGGCATCATCGGGAAGTTGGATCTACTAGTATGGCATCATGCCGGGCTCATTTTTCTGCTGATCTTCTTCCAAGCAAGAAGATCACCATGACAACGTTACGGTTGTTGCTTCTCGGCTTGCTTTGTGTTTCTACCCTGTCCCAGGAAGACGACACTAATCCATTCAACTACCAATGCAATATCCTTGAAGTCTCTGGTTCTGGCTGCTCTCCTCAATCATGGCAGCTAGACAACATCTGCGAACCCACAAGACAAGAAGGATGGTGTTTGGACTGTCTCGACTGTGATCCTTGCAGGAGGTTTAATTTTCAATGTGATGATTGCGTCAAAGCTGGATGTTTCTGGTGTCCTGGAGATGCTATTTGCTCTTCTCGGATCATCACCCAAGAAACCTGGACAAGATTGCAAGATGAATCTGAGGTGGGATCCAATTTGCAACCGTCTTGTGTCTCGGCAGAAGATTGGACTACAACCCCTTGCAGTGGTATCAGCGAGAGCAGCAACGCGACAGCGACAACAAAAGATAACATATTTTCAGACCCCCTATTTGATTCCATGGAGTGGCTCTACAACATGATCAATGTTCAGCCCGTGTGGGAGGCCGGAATTTTGGGAGAAGGGGTCCGTATTCGTGTCAATGATGTTGGTGGTGTGGACGCAACACATGCTGAGTTTGACAATCGTTTTGACGAAGAACATTCCTGTGAAGATTACTTGCCACCAGCCCCAGGAGAATTGCCCGTGGAGAGCATTCGAGAACATGGTACCGCCGTGGCTTCCTTGGCTTTGGGGGGCGCCAATAATGATCAGTGCGCCGTGGGAATTAGTCCAGCTTCGATACTGAGTGCGTGTCGCATGCCCAAAGTTGGAAATCCCTTGCTTTACGCCACCACCCTCATTATCCATTTGAATTTCACGGACGTTTCGGTCAACTCGTGGTCTTTAAACGCTTGCGTCGCAAAACAACTTGTAAGACGACTACAACCAGACGACAATGAGAAACGAAATTTACAATCCACGTGTCCCTTCTCCAATGAATTTTCCACATCACCGTGCAACGTGTGTGGAGAGTCACTGGCGGCTGCAGGCGACAACTACGCCCAGTTGGCACCCGAATGCCGATTGTCTATATCCTCCTATTGCCGCACACGCTTTGAATATGACGTGGAAGCCTGCAACGATTACTTGCCGCTGTATGCGGAATGTTTCTACGATTCCATTCTGATTCCAGAAGAAAGGGCGGCACTCGAAATTGGAGTGCAGCAGGGACGGGGCGGAAAGGGTCTCATCTTCGTCATGAGTGCTGGCAATGAACGCATGAATGGTGATTCCACCGATGGACAAAAATGGGTAGGAACTCGGTACACCATCAGTGTAGGAGCCGTCGACAAGTTAGGCATGCATGCACCCTACAGTTCCATGGGCGCCGGTCTGTTTATTACTGCTCCGGGTGGTAACTCAGGTCACTTGGCGAACAACATTGTGGCAAAGGTGGGAGGTGGATGCCATGACATTTCGGCTGGGACATCCTTTAGTGCTCCTGTCGTTGCTGGAGTCATTGCATTGATGCTACAGGTAAACAGGTAAGTTGATGAAATTTTGTGGTCAAGCCCACCAGAATGGCACCACACAGCTAACATCTGGCATTTTGTGCATCTCTTAGCGAGTTGACGTGGCGAGATGTCCAAGGGATTTTGGCCTCCACATCGAATAAAAATGATCCTGATGATGACTCGTGGACAACCAATGCTGCTGGCTTCCATCATAGTTACAAACACGGATTTGGATTGATCGACGCCAAGAAGGCTGTCGATGCAGCAGAAACATGGAATCTGTGGGCACCCGAGTCATATTTGACCGCCGAATCAGAACCTGAACTCAACATAACAATACCGCCTACCGATGAGGCACAAAGTGTGGAGACATCACTTTCCGTCAAAGCTCCACCGGACTCTGAATTCGAAGTAGAGTCGGTAGTGGCCTGGTTGGCTCTGGATCATCCTTCTCGCGGTGACTTGAACATTGTACTTACTTCGCCACAAGGTACAGAATCGATTCTTCATGAGAGCTTGAGGCCTGAAACCACACACCTTGTGGATGGAACTTATTGGACGCTCATGACAGTTCGTGCTTGGGGAGAATCACCTGATGGGGACTGGACCCTGTCCCTTCGAGATGATAGACCTGGCAATATACGTGATACATGTGTGGATATACCCTTCATATTCATCTTGCTCGCATCTCCTGGTGCACCCAATGGAGCGTTCGTTACCTGTGAATCGATTCGAAGATCTGCAAGTTGCGCCGATGGGCAGATCGTTGAACCTGACATTGCCACGTTGGTGAATCCCATCTCTTTGCTATCTCCCGATGTGGCTTGTTGCGTGTGCGGTGGTGGTATGCCTCCATCACAGAAATCACAACTAAAGGATTGGAAGCTGGTGGTGTACGGTCGGGGTGCCACTCCAGCAGAGGAACCGGAGGAAGAAGAAGAAAGCGAAGATGGATCTTCTTCACCTGGCGAAGAATCCAGCACAAGTGACAACGGAAACAGCAATGAGAATGGCGCCGACAGCAGTACAAGCAGCTCTGATTCCTCCATTCAGGCCTTGAACAAATTTTGGCTTCATGGCATTGGGCTGCTCTGTGCCTTCAATTTTATGAGATGAAGGACCTTGATATGATAGCTAATGCATGAAGTGCAGGTACGGTACTGTGCTTCTGTGCTTCGCACTAGCTACAGGATGAATCTCAACAAAGCACATCTATTGCAGCCTTAATCCCACACCTCTCAATTGCTACCTCTGGGTGCATGCTAGCTAGAACTCCCAAAGCATAGTTTGGTTTGGTGCTCCTCTTCTCTGACACCGTACCAGCAAAGTACCGCACATGTACCGGAATGGAAAGGCTAAAAGGAACTACACAACACTGCAACTCCAACCACCACCTTTTTTCCAAAACTCCTCAGGGGACTCATCACTCGACCCACAGCTGCCCCTGTCCGAAATCAAGACAATGGCCACTGCAGGTAGTGGTGGTAATGATTTGTCAATAGTCAAATTTAATTACCTCAACTACTAAAAGGTTTGAAAGAATTTGGAATTGGAATCTTCAACCTATTCCGCAGCACAAGAAGAGGTCCTCATTGCCATTCCGTCCATCATTGTTCGACCCAGCTGCATCCCTGTCTGTCTATCTATCGGAACACCTTCCTCTATTACCGGCATCAACAAGCAACAACAACAACAAGACTGAACAGCATTGCGTCCGTTCGTTTGGTGGCTCGAGGCCTCCTTTTTGGGCCCCCGTTGCTTTTTCATTAAAAGGCATCGTTTGCCGGCACTCCGCAGTAAAAATAGAGGTCGCAATTATACAAATTCAACAGTCCAAAGATTCTTTTCACGCTTCGCTTGATCGATCGACAACAATGCCACCGCAAGTTGCAGCTCGCGTAGCGTCACCGTCAGCTACCATGGTTTCACAAACCAAAGGGCGGATAGATAGTAGTACCACCAAGGAAAAGACTGATAAAAAGACTGCTGCTGCTGCTGCGGACGAAAAGCTCGGCTGCCATGGTGGCCGGGTGAAGCACAAGAGACGGTTCTGTCGAATAGACGGATGTGAACGGATTGTCAAGTCACAAGGGCTGTGCCAACGCCATGGCGCCAAGCCTCGACTGTGTAAGGTAGACAAGTGCACCAAACAGGCTCAGGGAAATTTTGATGGTACGTACAGACGCTTGCTTCACTGGCCACACACCATCTATTCATTGGTCATTGTGTGTGTTGGTCTTTATATGCTTGCTTGCCGTACGGGAGGCTGAGAGGATGATGGTGTTGTAGATTTCTCACGTTCGTTGTCATGTTCCCAATCACTTTCTCTGTTCGATGCTTTCGTTGCGAACCCCACAAACCCCACAAACAACAACAATCCACAATGACTCTCATGTTTAACAGGAATGTGTAAATCCCATTTCAAAGAGCACAAGCGAAAGACAACTCCCATCCCAGCTGTACAAAACAATCCAACAACGCCTCCAGAACCCACAGGATCGTCCGTCTACGATGGAGTTCTGCCGTCCTCTGTAGATTTCTTTCCGAATTTACGAGTGCCTCAACACACGCGAGGGAAAATGCCTTTGGTGGATCACCTAGCAGAAGGCTTCCACGGAGGCAAACCACCCGCTTGGCATCGCAATGAGGAACGCAAAGCAAGAGGACTCCTGCCCGTTGACAACCCCGCAACCCAGCTCGAAGGATGGGAGCGTGAATTGGTCTGGATGGAAATATTGGTCTTGACGGGAGTTCCCGAAGTGAGTTTCCGACACTTGGCGAGGGCGTGGGGACGCGACAAAGGCTTTCATATGGTATTGGCTCAATTCATTTGCGAGAGACACGGAGATGTCCAACGAAAGAAACGCAAACGTGACGAAGACGCCAGTACAGTGTCGCACGATCATTCAATAGCAGCAATCCACAAACGAGCAAATGTTGCCGTGGTCAAGACTCCTCCCGTCACAATCGTGACGGCTACTGCACAATCATCAGTCGTCAAGGCAGCCGCCAGCTTGGAAGAATTGAAAGCTGCCAAGGTGGCCATGCTGTCTCCGGAGCGCAAGAGACAAATTGCAACCATCCTGAGGCGTCGTAGTAGTGGTACCACCACCGGATCTCAACAACAACAAAAACTCACTGATGAATCCATCGATGATGATCAACTCTTGTCTGTTGGAGCCAACCTGTGGGACGATAATTGGTATGGCGACGCCAATTACAACGATGCTTTGGCAGCGGATCTCTTCAATCTGACTCCGCAAGAATCGGCATTGCTGAAAACGCGCTTGTCTAGTAGTGGAAAGCAAAGGCCGGACGATGATTCTAGCATGCACAGCGCCATTAGTGGACTATCCAGATCGGTTGCTTCCGGAAAGAACCTGGTGCCGGGAGGAGGCAAAGATGTGCTCCAGCAGGTTCATGTTTTGAAGAAGCGAGACTCAAGCACTTCGCTAGTCAGCAACATTAGTAGCACGCAAATCCCAAACACTGTTGCGGTAGAGAAAAAACCTCCCATCGAACGGAATGGATCTGATACGTTTGATCTGTCCTTGGATGGTGGGCGGCAAACAGGCATTAGCCCCATTCCGCCCCAACAGCAACAATACAATGGTCAAGGAAGGAACGACGGTTCCCAGAAGCAGCATACACCGACCAACCACTTGCAGCATCAAAGTACGTCTCCTCCCAAAACGCAACAAAAAGGTACCAGCCAGCAGCAACAAGCTCAACACTACCATCCGGGTAGCGAGACAACTGGAGGATTGGCTCCGCCACCAGCACAGCCGGTGGCAGCACCCACCCAACAGATGCAGCCGCAGCAGTCTTTTGGGTCTCAGGCCTCAAATCCACAACATCTGCGCGACTCGTCACAGGAGCAGTACATTGCCAATCACCAACAGACCGCGCCTCAAGTCCAACAGCAATTTCAAACCGCACAACAGCAGTATGCCAATCAAACCGCACAGCCAGTGCCACGTCAAGTCCAGCAACAATATGCTCAGCAAATTCCCCAGCCAGCGGCTCAGACCCAGCAACAAACTCAGGTGCAACAGTACCAAGCACCAGGGTCGCATCATGTTGAGCACTTACCTCAACCGGCGTCTCATGTACAACAGCAAAACCAGTTGCATCATCCGGGACATCACTTTGCGGCAGTACCAGTGCCGACGCCGCAAGGCCAGCAGGTTTACGCTTCACCAGCACCGGCGCCGGATCCTCATGGCCAGCAGCTGTACGCCTCGCCAGTGCCAGCGCTGGATCCTCAAGGACAGCAGCTGTATGCCTCACCAGTACCGGCACCAGCTCCACAAGTGCCAGTTCCAGCGCCAGCTCCTCAAGGACAGCAGCTGTATGCCTCGCCAGTACCGGCACCAGCTCCACAAGTGCCAGCGCCAGCTCCTCAAATACAGCAGCTGTATGCCTCTCCGGCACCAGCTCCTCAGCTATTTGTTGCACAAGCAGCCGCGCCTCATTCTCTGCAGCCAGTTGAGAACAGTGTGCATGCTACACAGGCTCCCCAAGCTCACCAGCAGCAACAACATCAGTACATTCAACCCGCAGCTCAGGGTCAGCATCAATATGTTAGCCAATCTCAACCGACAACACACCAAGTCCACCAAGTTTCGGGGCAAGCCAGTCATGGTGCACCTGGCGTGAACCAAGGACGGTTGTACAGCCAGAATCACCAACAGCTTCAACCAGGCCAGCAGGCGCAGAACGCACAGGGATACTGGCGCCCTGGACAGACCACTCACGGACAGTCTGGACAAGTTGACCAACACGCTGATCACAGTCGTCACCAGCGGCAGCACAGCCAGCAGGGGATTCCTTTGCACGGGAATCCTCAATCGAATGGGTATTATCAGTACCCTACTGTTCCGCAACATGCCCATCCTATCAGTAATAGCCAGCCTGGTGCAGCCTCACAGCAATATCAAACGCCGCACGCACAAGCTCAGCAACCCCACGGTCAAGGTCTGCAAACTGCAACTATGGTCGCGAACACTCATTTGGCTACTGCTGGCACGGCCTCAGTCCCGCAAAACAATCAGCAGCATCAGCAAAACGGCGCCTTAGAAGCACGCCCAAACCAGCCATTCATGCATACGCATTATGGCCAGCCTGTAAACAATCAGGCGTCGGGTGCAAGCAACCAAAACCAGGCCGCTTCGACGCAAGGCTCCACGGTGACACCGGGACTCGGTCCCACTCAACGCACGTCAACAGGGACGAAGGAACAGCTGCATGATTATGACCACCGCAACGAACATATGCAACCGGCAGAAGAGAATCACGCCATGGACGAGGATCCTTCGCACGATCAACACGACTACGGCATTGAGGTTGTTCACGAGGACCACGACCACGATCACCAGCATTCGAAGGAAGAGGTCGTTGGCTTCCACCAAGCTGCAGCAAGCGATACAATGAACAACTCGCAACCTAGTTACCATCATGCATCTGTTCCGCATGCCGCCGCTGATCTCGTTCAGAACGAAGCCGGATCAACCGGTATCTTTCACACGCAACAGCACCCCGATCCAGTTGGTGGCGGGCAGGTCGAACAAGCTTATCAGGCCTGGGCTACCAATGGAGCCAATGCTGTCCCAGGCGAGGGCCAGGCAACTGTACAGCATGCCCAAACCGCTCATCCGCCACCTCAAATGCAGCAGCAGTTTGCATCGCATCCGGGGTACAGTCAGGTGCGTCAGGATGGAAGTGGTATGCAAATGCAAGCGGCGCCGGAGTATCAAACACAGCTACATCAGACGAAGCATGATATAGCGACTTATGCGACAAACAACGCTGGTGTTGAGCAGGCGGGGCCGTTGCAAGCACCCGGCCATGTTTCACAGCAAACTCAGCCTGGCAGCCACTCTCCACAACAGCAATATCCAAGCCAATACCAACAAGATTTTCAACAGCCTCAACAACAGCATTACTCTGCACCATCGCAGAATCAGCAGCTTCAAACAACGTACCAAACGCAGGGCCAGAACGAAATAGAAGGAAACTCGTCGCAGCCTTTGTCGAGACAAACCTCAGCCAGTCACCATAGCGAGTATCAGCAAGGCAGCTTGTCGCGACAGACCTCTGCAGGTCACCATAGCGAGTATCAGCAACCGCAAGGCAGCATTTCACGACAGACCTCTGCGAGTCACCATAGCGAGTATCAGCAACAGGGGCAGACATGTCCACCTCTCTTTGAAGCGCAAGGGGATCAAGATGTAAGCCAACAGAACCATACCCACATTCAAAACCAAACCGGTCATGTGACCCAACAACAACAGCAACCATATTGCTCGGCTCAAGACATGCTGAGCGCCTTTGATAACGAGCACCAGCATCCAGGGCAAAATGCCGCGCCGACTAACTTTGAGAACCAGCAGCAAGGGCAAGTGAGTGCTCCTGATCCTCTACAAGAGTATGAACAGGAGGCCTTGTTCGAATTGCCGTACACGACTGCCGCAACTGCCAGCCTTCAACAAGCAGGCGATCCCGGACAAGGCGGGCCTCAGGCTTGCCAAGAAGGTGTTCGCCAGCCTGAAACAACAACCGGTCAATACAACGATCAGCACTCTGGCGAACAAGTGAACCTCTTTAGTGGCTCTGGTGACGGGCAAGCAGTGTCAAACTCGGACCCAACCAACTTGTCTCCGGACTACGGGCAACATCAGCTGACACAGCAAGACCAGACACAACAGCAGCACGATCAGCAACAAGCGCAGGCTGTATTGCATCAGCAGCAGCATCAGGTAGAGTACAACCAGCAGCATCACCCATATGAGCAGCAAGATCAGACGCGATACGAGCAACATGAGCAGACATTGAATCATCGAGGACAGGCGAAGCTGGAAGGCCAAACGCAACATGCCGAACAACCGCGAACACTAGACGAGACGCAACAGGACCAGCACCCCCAGGATCAATACGAGGTAGCACAGGACCAAAACTATGCCGCACCAAACCAGCAAACTCAGGACGTTCCGACCGGCACCGAACAGCAGTATTACTCCGAGTATGGTGACAACACCCGCCTCGAAAACGGCGAAGGAGAATCCAATTACATCTAGCTAGATAAGCAGCTTCGCAATAGCTGTTAGATTCGATTCTACCGTACTCTAGAGTATGCAGCCTTCCTCTATGATTTCAACTTGAAGCCGACTGCATTCGTGGCTGGTAGAGTCACGCGACGCACTGCATTTGTAGCTAAGTCGTAGGCAACGACCAGCAGAGTCGTTGATCCATCCTTGCCATCTCCAGGGTATTCTTGCTATGGGTATCGACGGTGGCTGCCAGTGTAGGACCAGCACCAGGTACGCACACGGTTCGTCATGAGGCAATCATTATTATTGACGTCCCTTCTATCCGGCTGGCCAGATGCAAAATTTGACGGGGCCGGAGTACGGCTATTTTAGAACGAGATTAACTAATATCATGAACCTCCGGATTAATGCAGATGCTTTGGCAATTATGATCGCCAACAATGAGAATTGGACTGCGGTGATTATGATTTTGGGTTCATCCATCCATCCAATTGGCATTCTTGGCTCGTTGGTCGAGAATACTTACAGAATCGTATCTGTACCCTAGAAGGATTCCGGGACAAAGGTAAAGATCATCTTGGCATCAAAGAAGAAGGTATGACTGTTGATGATGTGTCCATGTTTCTTGCCCTTGGCAAGCTTGTAGACTCGGACCTGTTCCTTAAGCCCTGCCATGCGTCCACCACAAACAACAATCTCATCTCCTTCCATGGCAATGCCATTTTCTAATAGTTCATGGGACAATTCTTCCAACAATTCTTCGCTTTTGTCAAGACCATGCACGGCCACGGAATGCAATCCTGCCATCAATCCACTGGCCTGACGAGCTGCGGTTTCCTGGGGTGTCATCATGAGGACAGAGACGCTGGGACGGAATTTGGAAATGTAGTTGGCCATTCGTCCAGATTCACTGAGCACAACAATGAGCTTGGAGTGGATGTCCAGGGCTGTCTTGACAGCCGATGAAGACATGGATTCTCCAACAGAAAGGGTCCCGGTTTGTCTGATAATGGAGTTTCGTACCGACTGATACAACAGGTTGTAGTTGCGAGAGGATTCAGCCTCACAGCAAGTCTTGTTCATGACCTTGACGGCCTCTTCAAAGTAAGGTCCATTGGCTGTCTCACCACTCAACATGACTACATCGGTTCCATCGTAGACGGCGTTGGCAACATCAGAACACTCTGCACGAGTTGGGCGAGGATTAGTGATCATCGATTCGAGCATCTGTAATGAAAATCAAAAGATCAAAGTGAGTGAATGCAAGTATAGCGCAAACCATCATTTCCGGAAAGCTGAAACCGCATAATCGAAACGATAACTTTACCTGAGTAGCCGTGACAACGGGTCTTCCCATGAGGTTGGCCTCTCGGATCATGTACTTCTGCGCCAAAAAGACCTTGGAGGCAGGGATTTCCATGCCCAAGTCACCACGAGCAACCATAATGGCATCCGTTTCCTTGAGAATTTCCTGATCAAAGCAATTGAGTAACGCACAGACAAACAGCGTGAGCACCGAACATACCCATGCCCTCTCGTAAAAATAGAGCAGACAATACCTGATAATTCTCCAACCCTTCTTGATTTTCAATCTTGCAGATAATCTTGATCTCTGATCCTCCGTTATCAGCCAACAATTTTCTCAATTTTGTGACATCAGATCCCTTTCGAATAAAGGATGCCGCAATGAAGTCCACCTTGTATTTGCAGGCCCAGTTGACAATATCATCGACGTCCTTTTCCGTAAAGGTGGGCAAATCAACAACAACTCCTGGCAAGTTCATGTTCTTGCGTTCTCCAATGGAACAGTTGTTTTCGATTCGACAGGAGACCTCCTTAGCAGCCTCATTGCAGGACAAGACTGTCAAGACAAGACTACCATCAGCACAGAGAATCTGCTGTCCCTCCTTGACGCTCTGGGCGATAGTAGGGTAAGAACATGCCAATTTCTTATTGTCTCCCTTGAAGGAATAATCGCCAGTGAGCACGAGGGTCTCTCCTTTGGTCAATTCAATTTTCTTCGCGTCATTGGCAAAGAATCCTGTTCGGATTTCGGGACCCTTGGTGTCCATCAAGACAGCAATGTTACGTTTCTTCTCTTTGCAGACCTTGCGCAGACGTTCCAAGACACTCAAATGACCAGCATGATCACCATGGCTAAAATTGAAACGAGCAGCATTCATACCAGCATCCATCAGCTTGGCCAATCCCTCTTCACTCCAACAGGCAGGGCCAAGAGTGCAGATAATCTTGGTCTTGCGCTCCTTGACCAGACATGGCTTGGTCACAGTTTCTAGCGTGATGTAACCTCCACGGAGGGTAGGGACACTGGCAGTATTGGAAATCATCTTGTTTTCGAATAATAATATCTATGAGGAAGCTGTGGCTCTCGCACAAAACAATTTGTGGAGTTTTTTGTGCGCGGTGGCATGGCCCTTGCTACCGGTAGCGAAGTACGAGTACTAGAGCTAGCTGGCTAGTACCGGTAGAATTATTGGTGGTCTGGAAGGTATCTTGGTATCTTTCGTCTTTCTTTTGCTGCCGGTGGTTCGGACGGAAGATTCCACATTCAGTATTCATCATTCGCGATCCTTTGCGTAAAGAATGTTATATGCGTAGTTCTGGTACCGGTAAAGATGGGGTTAAATATTTCAGAATAAATACCAAGGTTTACCACATCTACCATACCTCATTGGGTGCGAATCCCAAAACTGTCTTGCTGGCTTCGCGATTCGATTCGATTCGATTCGATTCGATTGAAGATTTCCCTCGTACCAGGCAGCTTCCACGCCACGCTCTGCTTAGCCGTGTTCACCGTCCTCTGAGTCCATAAACCGATGCAACAATTTTTTCTTTCTTCCTGGATTGCTTTCAGCCTACTCAGAGTACGGAAGCTGGCAAGAATCCAGGGTTAGGAGAAGAAAGGCAAACTCGGGACTAGTAGGAAATAATTGATGCCGTTGATTGTGTCATTCTTTGATGATTGAAAGTGTATGATCGAGCGATACCTGCCTGCCTATAGGAAGAACAGGATTGCTCATCCTTTTCTCAAATCCATGCGCTCAACATGAAGCTGCAGAAGACCACACAGTTTTATGAAATCATGCCATACTCAAATCATAGGGCAACTAGATAGAACTGAAAGAAAGAAAGAGTTAATCTGCTGCACCGGTTGATGGAGTATGTGCACGAGTGGTTGTTGGAACAGGACTCTCCCCTGACACTGGCGGCTGATGGAGTTGTTTCTTCTTCGTTCTCCCCGATCGGAGAATACTTCGGTGTGCTCATCAGCCGTTTGATCCAAATGCTGAATCCTGCCACCTTACCATCGTCTGCACGGCACTCCGGATACTTCAATGAGATCCGGAAAAACGGGTATAAATTTAGACCCTTATTTTGAAAACTGGAATAAAAATCAAAATTTGGGTATAACGGATTGCCGTTTTCTGCTTTTGAACCGTTTCAAACTCCCTAGTATTAAGATAATACCCAACGACCCAGGCGCAACCCTGAACTGTACTTTTGATTTGGACCTTCCCTGGTCTCGTACAGGCCACGCCGTGGATTGCCCTGTTTTGCTGTCCCAAGTCACCATATCTAGATGCCCGTATCTCAGCCAAAACTCAACCTTTGTAGAAAATTTTTGCTTTGAATGATATCTACTCTTTTTAGAGAACCCAGAACTGCCTATTATCTTGGTGTTAATAGGGTTCCTGGAACACCCATATTGCTGGGTGAGTAGCTTCATAGGTTTATAGACATCCCCCCAGGAGAAATTTTTCAACATTCCTAATTTCAAATTTTATTTTTAAACTATTTCGAAAAACAATCTAGCGAAAAAACTATTTCGAAAAACAATCTAGCCAAACCAACCAAACCTGCAACCTCCACGCCACGAAGACGAAAGGCAACAACAAAATCTCGCTGCTTCAGATTTCATTCCTCGATTACATTCATGAGTGACGAAGAGTTGCGGCAGCGGCGGCGTCGCAGCGCCATGGTGTCTTGGGTGGGGTCATCTCTCCAGTTCGAGAACGAAGAAACAATCCTTGCCGTGAAAGAGGCATTAAGGGCGGTGCCTCTGAGGGCTTTGGAAAGACTGATGGAGAGGAAGATTATTTGTACCGGTACCGAATATTGAGCAAGGGTACAAAGAAGGATTGTTTCGCATTGGCATTAGGTGTTAAGGCTGAATTGAACGACTTCGAGTTGCTCGATGGGCTAGAAGAATCTGGCTACTACTGTAATGCCATCCTCCCCCGTCGCTTCTCAAACGGCACGGGTTGGATGACTACATTCAAGGGGCGATTGAGAGCGGTAAATCTGAAGGCACCCAAGATCTTCTGAATTTTCTCTTGGGCCAACAAAAAGTTGAATTTCCAGAAATGCAAGAGGAAGTTGATGTTGAATGGCCGGACTGCTACATCTGCATCATTGCCTCGTCAGGAACTGGGAAAACTCAGTTGGCGGCGACTGCAAGTCTCACCTTCGAAGGGGCGAAAACAATCTACTTGAACATGGGCCAGGACAGTGATCAAAGCTTCTGCCGTCCTCACGATTCGAAGCCGTTGATGGAAACAATTACCAAGTTCATTGAAATGATTGACCGTAAAGCAATAACCTTATCAGCGAACGGGATCGCTGAATGGGCCAAAACGCAGGACAAGGGCCATTCTACCTTTGTCTGCTTGCTCTATCACCTACTCACTGGGAAGCCTTTTCGACGGGATGACGTGAAGTCTGTGTTGAAGCTCAGAGATCTCAAAGCTGCCATACAAGGCGAGAAGTTCCTGGTTTTTCTCGACGAAGTTCCGCCTATGGGCAACGATGGCCGCTTTAAGTGTGCTCTTTGTTTGAGGGATACCCTTCAATACCTTGGAATTGCTCCAATCTTGATGATGCAATACACCGCTCTTAGCCTTATTCGCGACTCGATCCTAGATAGGGTTTGAGTTCGACTCATGACTGAGTCTTTCGTGAATAGTCATTGAGACAGGTTCTCACTGACCGCTAGTCATACTAGGTCGATGTGAAACATCGACCTAGATATTTAGCTGGCGTGGAGAGATTCCACGCTACTAGATAAATGCTAGACGAATCTTCCCGCTTCCGTTTTTGGATCGTGAGTGAGTAGGATTGCTACCGCAACCTACTCTATCACACTCTACAGTCTCCCTGGAGTTCAGATCTACGACCTTTGATTGTAGATCTCTCGTTTATTAGTTTTCATAGCTTCTAATCCTCTCATAACTTTCATTCCTCAAACTCAAAACACTGAAAGATCTTTACACTAGCTTTTAGCGTAGTGCATTTTGTTAACAAACACAATAGTTTCAGCTACCTCAACCTATTCTCACCATGAAGATTGCCAAAGACGCATACACAAGCTTCGAGTCAAGCTGGTGACAAACCAATCCTTCTTCTCATCGACCTCGATGGAATGCAAATCGACGATCCTCGCTCTACCACCTACAAACTCGCACTTTCCAGCAGATAGCTAACAGCACCAAGTACACTTCAAGGTCCAATCATCAAGGATTAAACTCCACGTACAGACCATCAAGTGGGCTGGACGTATGGAGAAGGTCTTGCTCGGCTCGCCATTGCTACGCCTGACGAAAACAACCCTCCTCAGGAGATGATTCTAGCTCTGCAAAGAGCATTTACGAATCTAGCTGTGCAGCCCACCGTGAAATACGTTGAATGCCTTGCGCAGATTGCAGTCAACGCGATTCTCCACGCGACATACGTGCGGTGAAGACGAAGCCCTTTCCAAGCGTTTCCAGGCTGCCTGGAACGGAGCAGCTCAGCCTGCTTTGGACGACGCTGACATTAGTTTGGCATAAATGCCTGTATCGAAGCGGTCTGTCCCTAAAAGGCCTTGAAAAGCAGAAACGCTTCAGTCGCCGCAAGATGCGTAAGCCTGCATATGTCCACTCGCGATGTCAACAACCTCATCGGATGAACACCGATGAACTCTCCTCGTCTACCACCTTTTGGACCCAACCAAACTGTGAACCATGACGAAGTCATTGACATTGTTTGTATGGAATTCCACGCTCGTGGATGAAGAAGATGGACGAACACGACTTCGATCCTTTCTCAGCTCCTATCGGAAACCATTGGATTCTGCGAAACGCATGGAATCTCCGAAGAATTTGACAAGGCGGTGATCAAAGCAAGCCTCCTCGAAGAAGAACACAGCAAGAATACAAGTCTACTCGCAACAACGACCAACACTTCCAAGAACGAAGAAAAATGGTCGACTACCACGAGTCCAGCACTCCAACAACTGCTGACTGCATGACTGTGAAGAAGCTCAAGGAAAGTCTCAGTCCTCGTCTGCAACGATACAAAGCCAACGTACAAAAAGAACATAGAATTGGAAAACGCAAGCCGACCTACGCCAAACCTACACCGAAGAAGGAACTCTCTGTCCTATGAAAGAAGGTTTCCAACGCTGCTGGTCAAGGCCGACGCAAGAAGAAAAGCGAAAAAACCAGTTGCCAAGCGCAAGTCCGACAACTCCACAACGAGGACGACCTCTCTGTGGATCCACAACATGATGGACAAGAAGATGGCGCCGCTTCGACAAGGCGCTTGCCAATTCGACTTCAATCATATCGGATGTAGAGATCTCCGTCTTAGGTTAGGCCAGGATGAAGAATCAAACGGAACCATGTCGAATCTTCTCATACCTTAAGTGATGAAGATATCTCACCTAAATAGTAACAAAATTTTTTGCAAACTAACGAAGTCTTCGGCAATTAGATAATTGCCTAGTACCTGCTCAACTAGACCCTGACGATCTTGTCAGCATCGTTAACTTCGTCCATGGCCAATCAAACTCATCAATCGTCGCACGACAAGAGACCTTGAAGCTATCGTCTAATGTTAGATTATACAGACGAGCGAAAAGGAAACGAAAACCCCTTACCACTCTGTCTTACTGGATACAGAAGCATCCAGGACTTTAATTGCTCAAGAACCATCTAATAGGATTTACTCATGAAGAATCATGGCGTCCAAACATTTACGGACTGTCTTCTATGATAGGAATTGGACCGCCGCACAAGTGTAAGGGGCACACTCGCGATTCCTGAGTTTCCCGATGATAGAATTGTCCAATTTTGTGGAATTTACACGTCACCCAAGAACTTGGGGGCGCAAGACGTGATCATAGGTTCAAGACACTCTCGACGATCTAAGAATCAAGTTAATGATTCCTACGAATGTCATGGGTGGAACCCATGCATTTTTTCCCGCGAAAGAGGCAACACCAATAGAAAGGAAACTTCTCCATTCCGATTCTGCAGCTGTCGCGACAATGCAAATAGTCCAAGAAGATCTTGATACGACATACGAACAAAACAGCCTTAAGGCAGATATGCCAGAATCGAAATCCGTTAAACAAGAGAGCAAGAACTGCCTCATCTTTTCAACCAAGTGCTTCGACCCAGTCGAGGATACTTTGGGAGAGTTCGAATGGACGACTACGAAGTAGAACTTCTCCCGACGTAAATCCTTTACACTAGGGCTCACCCTACCCACGGGTCCTACCAACACTCTTAAGAAGGAGGTTGAACGTCTCTGCGAAACAGGGCACTCAAGAGGTGAACGTTCGTGGGGCGGCACAACTTTATCATTCCCAGAAAGAGGGATCGCACGATCATCTCGATTTCGGGAACAAACAAACGATCAAGCGGAAGCCTTATCCTTACCCAAAAATACAGGACATCTCTTAACAGATGGATTCAAGTACGTAAAGTCTAGACCTGAAACATGGGTACATATCACATCGTGTGTCACCTCACTCGAACAACTCTGTACTATCATCCCGTGGGGAAAGACGGTACCAGAGGTTGCCATGGCCTATGTAATAGTCCCCGACATCTTCCAAAGGAAAATGAAAGCACGCATGCATGACTAAGAAAATGTCCGTGCATACGTGTTATGATCAACTCATCCTAACGGACAGTCGATCTCGCAGATCGCGTTGAACATTAGGATGACCTTTCCCCAAGACTCCAAGAAGTCGGGATTGAAATCAATCACTACAAGGCCTTCCTCGATAGGAAGAACTGAGTATCTAGACAATTGGACTTCTCGAGAAGAAAGCCAACTCTTAACTAAAAGATAACAGATGCGACCACTATGCTCTCCTACCAAAGGAAGAACTTCGTGGAGATCATTGGACCAATGAACTACCAAGGGCTGCTCCAAGACAGCAGACGGATTAACCATCGTTCTGAACAGACGTGGTTACCCAGCATCCATGAACGGTCGTCATGGACAAGAAAACGTGAGTCCCGCGTAGAGTCTGAGAAGACTCTCCGGGATCATATGGACTTCGTCGCAATTATAACACAGTGTTCAATCGTGACGGATTCCAACAACTCCGTTTAAGCAACGGAAATCATTAAGAACGTCGCCAACGACTTATCCAAAAAAACACCGATAAAGGAGAAAACGGCACGTGCCCCTCATCAACACCAGCAACGACCATATGATTAATCATCATGTCAGAACGTTAATACGGTCAGCCAAACGCACAAAGGTCCTTACCACACAGCACCGAGTCAATAACAATGCACTGTACGGCTCCGACATACTACCGCTAATAGCGGCACAGTCTACCAGACTTGGAACATAAGTATTTACACCCATACAAGCCTGATCCCCTTTGTAGGATTTGCCATCGTGCGACGACACTGTCTACATCCAATCTCGGAGTGCCCCGCACTTTAATTCATATGTTCTCCTTGTCCGACTGATGTCGTGCCTTCCGTGACCCTTGTCAGGGAGCGAATGCAATACACGGCTCTTAGCCTATTCGCGACTCGATCCTACACGGCACGTGTCCCTCAAACCCATGTCAACGACACTATGATGATTCATCAGTATCAGAACCGTTAATACGGTCAGCCAACGCACAAGTCCTTACCACACAGACCGAGTCAATAACAATGCACTGTACGGCTCCGACATACTACCGCAAATAGCGGCACGTCTACCAGACTTGGAACATAAGGTATTTACACCCATACAAGGCCTGATCCCCTTGTAGGATTGCCATCTGGCGACGCACATGTCTACATCCAATCTCCGAGAGTGCCCCGCACTTTAATTCATATGTTCTCCTTGTCCGACTGATGTCGTGCCTTCCGTGACCTTGTCAGGGGGCGAATGCAATACACGGCTCTTAGCCTTATTGCGACTCGATCTAGATAGGGTTTGAGTTCGACTCATGACTGAGTCTTCGTGAATAGTCATTGAGACAGGGTTTCATGACCCTAGTCATACTAGGTCGATGGTGAAACATCGACCTAGATATTTAGTGGCGTGGAGAGATTCCACGCTATATAAATGCTAGACGAATTCTTCACGCGTTCCGTTTTGGATCGTGGAGTGAGTAGGATTGCTACGCAACCTACTCTATCACACTCTACAGTCTCCCGCGGGAGTTCAGATCTACGATCCTTTGATTGTGGTTTCTCTCTCGTTGATTAGTTTCATAGCTTTCTAATCCTCTCATAACTTTCATTCTCTCAAACTCAAAACACTCGAAAGATCTTTACACTAGCTTTTAGCGTAGTGCAATGAGTACCCACACAGGAGCACAGCATTACGTCGGAGCGGAGCAACATCCCGGAAGTCAATTGACGTATGGACTTGGATCGTGTCTGCGCTTCCAAAATACGCACCATTCCCAGGGCTGAATAGACCACCGTTGTTTTGGAGGGATACGGAACGACCCTGGACTCTGGCGCAGGCCAAGGCAAAAATCATCAAGAGAGATGGCAGCCCGCTGGAATGTGTGTGTATCATCCAACGTGAGTTGCAGCAGTACAAGAGCCATGCTTGGACGGAAAGCTCGGATTTACAACCGGCGCAACTATTTGAAATCAAAGAAGAGTGGTTTACTTCTGCTCACAAGCTTGTTGGTCATCATTTTGGCTGGCTTGTGCAGGGCGGTGATGATGGGAGAGCGAGCTACAAGTGTATCGAGGCTTCAAACTATGGGAAGCAGCTCGAGGTAGCACCCGTTTGTGCGAGGACGGAGCCGTTGCTTTCCCTGGCTCTGGTGACATGGACCGAGGCAATGCTGGAAGAAAACGCCGACCTCATTTTCCCATTAGTCGATGGACTCAAGAAGCCATACAAACCGTTGACGGTGAGGGGAGCACACATGAGATGCTAAGATCTCTTCAACAGTAAGCTATCTACAGAAAATGAGCATGCAACCAAGAGCGATGGGAACTTGCTGGAAGTTCTAGTTCATGTGGCCTTGACCTTGGCATCGATGAAGGTCTACAAAAAATTTGATTCCCTTTGTTTGGGTGGCATGTCGATCACTGAAGGAGTTCCTGCCTTTGGTTCGCGCCTTCCTGTTGGAAGAATTCTTTGAGACAGTACCAGTACCCACCGCTCCTTCATTCTTCAACGAGCTCAAGTTCGTTTGGCCTGACGTGCCTGCGCTCGGTGGCTCAAATTCCGGCCTTCCGAAGGAGCTCGCTGACCTACCCAACGTGTCCATTGGCTTCCTTGACCGGCCTGCAGACTATAAAATGGTCGACGGCAGGATGTACAACATACGCACACAGCCCCAAAACCACCAACAATCCATTCTTGGTTGTCGAGTGCAAGAACTACAGGAGTGGTGTCGACGCCTCACTTCTGAAGGATATCTTCAAGCGCATCAATCATAGGGTCGAATGCAGTATGGTGTTTGTGTCAATTCTTAAAGAAAACATTCTATCGAGGCAATCTGTGACGAAGATCAGAGAAGAGTGCTTCGGGCCTCCTCACAATAAAGACGGTGTGAGCGTTGTCTACTGGGAGAACAACAAGGAGCCTGCCTTCTTGAAAGTAAAAGGAGGCGAGGCTTTCAAAGCCAAAACAAAACTTCATTGCTAGTTGTCACCGTCGCTGTTGGCACATTTGCTGCGCATGTGAGCAGAAAGAGAAAGCTGACACATGCGCCTGGTACCAACCGTTGAAGGAGTTGATTTTCGCAGGTGTTAACCAAGAAGCGCTGTCAATTGGGTCGGGCACATGGTACATACTAGGACAGGGGGTAGACAGCACTACATACAGCCTGTGCATATGAACAGGTACTGATGTACCTCCTGATGAGTACTCATAGTAATGAGTACAACTCTACATGAAGTACTAGTAGTTCGAAATTTGTTGGATGGCCTGTGTTTGGACCGGCTGGACCATTTTGTTTCTGGCTGGTGAGCAGGTGAAAAATGCTTCATAGCTCTTTTACTAAGAAGTAGGGCCTACCGGTACTGTACCTCTGCTTATTTTTGCAAGTAAAAAAATTTAATCAAACTTTTTCATTTAAAAGAAGAAATGTTCAAATTAGGAATGTTGAAAATTTCACCTGTGGGGGTGTCTCCCCCCGTGGAGCTACCCACTAGCATTCTAGAACCAAATTTTAACATCAAGATAACAAACAGTTCTGAGTTCTCCAAAAAGAGCAGATATCATTCCAAAGACTGAGATACAGTACGGGCATCTGGAGAGATTTTTAAAATTTTAAAGTCGTGACAAGGGGTAGCAAAGCAAGGCGGTCCACAGCAGAGAAGGTCCAAGCAAAAATAAATAGCTTTTCGTCAGTCACGGGGGTGACAGACGAAAAAGGTTTATTTTTATTGGAGCTTTTCAGATCGAGAAAAACCTGTTGGAGATCATTCAATCAGACGTACGGTACCGGTATGTACGATCCAGCAACTGGGGGAGAATGCCACCTTTGGATGATCATTTTTTTGGATGACCCATTGGATACCACTTGTCAGTTAAGTCTTTAAAGGCATTACCTGTATCACCTTCAGTGAGCTGCTACAGTAGCCCAAATCACTCCATGATGCTCAGTATTCTCCTCGGAAAGGTGTTTGGGCTACTCGAGTAGCCTAAATTCAATCCTTTGTGTTTGGGCTACTCTAATAGCCTAAATTCGCCTCTTTATGTTTGGGCTACTTGAGTAGCCTAAATTCGCCACTTTGTGTTTGGGCTACTCGAGTAGCCCAAATTGGCCGTGTCCATTGGAAGTGTACTTAGACTGTTTTGGCTTGTGACTTGTGGCTTATAGCTGTATGCCACCATTCAAAAAACGTCACCTATTTGGGCTACTTGTGTAGCCTAACCTCCAAAAATCAGTTTGGGCTGCTCAAGTAGCCCATATGTTTGGGCTGCTCAAGTAGCTCAAACTTTGAGATACTCGAGTAGCCCAAACAATCAGACGATGTTGAGCTACTTGAGTAGCCCAATGCACTAGCTACACATTGGGCTACTTGAGTAGTCTAGATTTTCGGCTACTTGAGTAGTCCAGTTCTTCTCTGCAACTTTAGGCTACTCCAGTAGCCCAATGCCACGGCCTTTTAGTAAGAAATTGAGGTCCTCTATGTAATGCAGGGCATGCACTTACTTAACTAACATGTGGTGTCCAATGGGTCATCCAAAGAATGATCATTGGGGGAACCCATAAGTTCTGGAGGCAACGTGCGGCTACGGTACGAATGATCAATCCAAGTGGTGCTTTTGACGGCGTGAAAACTGCTTTACTCTCTGCATTGCAACACGCAGGAGCTCGCTTCTTTGACATAGGTCGTCTCACAAAAAACAAAGCACCTTACGTAAACCGATTACTTTCCAATATGATTCTGCGGTTCCTCCAGCCACTTTTCGAGCCTTTGGAGCTCGATGCGCTCCCGAGTGGTTCGGCCGTTGTCGCCGTTGCTCTGTTCGCTTATATTGCTGGCATCGTCGGCACAGTCGTATTCTACAATCGAATCCTTGACCACGGAGACCACCGCACAAAAGTTTATGAGAATGGGATTAGCTGGATGTTTCCCTTCAAAGTTCTGTTTCAAGGCTGCAGCCCACCGACCGTTCTACGTATCGTTGCCGCGCGCACTCGACGTCGTCTCTACATGGGCTTCAAGAGATTCGTCTTCTTCGGGGACGAGTGCTGGTTTGTTGGTCATCCTGCCCTTTTGAAGCACATATTCAGCCCCCAGAATCACCGTCTTTGGCACAAAATGGACAAAAAGAGTGTGTATGAGTTTTTCTCTTTGGAAGGTGGAGCTAACGGCGGCATGCTCTACGAAGGAGACAGTGACAAGTGGAAGCATGCACGCACAAGCCTATCGCCGTACTTCCTGAAGTCGAACTTTGATGCTCTGGAAGGCAAGATTGATGCAATCATCGAAAAACACACCACGCTTATCCTAGAGCACCGCTCTGGAAAGGTCTAACTCCTTGAGGTGCTGCTCTTCATTACTGTAGACATTCTGTGCGAGATCCTCTATGGATGTAGCCTTGGCAAGGAGGACCTCGAGGTCTTGGTCCGATCTCTTGCTGAGTACACCATCGGCGGAACCTCCTACCGGGGAAATTACCCTGGCGGATTGACCTCCCTGGACTATCATAGCAAAATTGCCTCGAAGATGGCAGACGCTGCACCTGAGGGTACCTTGGGTCATATCCTGCTCAATGAATGCCCATCTTTGCCAGAACGAATCCGGTACGAGAACTGCTCCTTTTTCTTGGAGGCGATCACTCCCTGCTTCGCCAGTTTCTGGACAATCTCCATGATTTGTGTGGCCGGTAGAACAGACACAAGCATGCAGAACAAGGCCGCGGAGGACGCTACCTATCGGGAGCAATGCATCAAAGAAGCCTTGCGGATGTACCCTCCGGTCCCCCTCATCTGGGCACGCGGTGCCACAGAGACCCACCACTTTGAGAATCCCCTCTTCGACCCGGATGTGAAGCCCTCCTCTTTCTTTGCGCCCTTGTTTGGATCATGCGACATCCGAACCAAGCAGTACATCAAGATTAAAAAGGGGACCAAGGTCATGATGTTTCCGTCTATCTTCCACCACGATGATCGCTTTTGGAGGAGGCCTGAAGAATACGTACCCTCTCGATGGAACGAGGACCCTCATGTTCTCGACGGCCCGAGGATAGTCAAGCGAAAAACTGTGCGACGTTGCACTAGTGGGAACCAAGTGTTAGATCTAGGGGGGGCAGAAATTGTTGGTGACCAAGGACAAAAGCGCTGAATCCGCGTACGATGAGTCTACCCAACCTCTCCGGTACAAAATGTTCGGAGCCAAGGGAGAGATCGAAAGCGAGAGAGCCACTCGAGAGAACGTGACTGCTACGTCCAAGGCCGAAGAGTTCCACGAATGGTCGTTCCTCCCCTTTTGCCTAGGCTCTACGCACAGCTGCCTTGGGCGAAGACTTGCCATGCGCATGGTCGATTCCATGGTTTCCAACTTTCTGAAGCACGGTGTAAACTTTGAGCACGATGTTGTGCCACGCTTGTTCACTCAAAAGAATTGGATGGAGAGACAGAACGAACTATTGTCGGCCTACTACTACCCCTCGGAGCCCGTGTATGTTGAACTTAAAGAGGCAACGCATGCCTAATGAATCATAGAAGCTACATGTATAATAGAGAATAGAAAGAAGTTTTGCGAATACAAGTGCAACATTCCTGCCTTTGTTGTCTCTCAAATACATGCGATGCA